TCGGTTGCATTGCCTCAGGACTTGAAGGAGCAAATATTGACACTCGCACCTAATCAAACAACAGAAATCATGAACATTAACATTCCAGACCCAGACAATACGGTCATTGTGGCTTACTTGGATGATGCCACAACTTCTGAGCGCCTTGCACGTTGGGTTTCTTGGCCTGAGCCCATGAGACTGATTCATCTCTCTACAGAGCTGGATGTTCAGGCTCATGTATCGGAGTCTGGAGACAAAATATTCTTGCGTACCAATGCACCAGTCAAAGGTGTAACTCTCTCGGTTTCTATAGATGAAGGAGACAGTGACGCAGTTTTCGATGACAACTTTATCGATCTGGTTCCAGGAGAGACGGTAGAGGTTGGTGTTATATCTCTTGCTGGCAGAAATGTGCAGGCTAGGTTCCTATACGACTGGGAAATGGAAGAGGGGTTCAAGCTGTGAACAGAGCACGGACATCCTAACTTAATGGTCGGTCATTAACGCCCTCCATCCCTCATCGTTTCAGATTATAAGGACATTTCAATAAGGGGGGGGTGTTCTCACGCCCAGGTCAGATGGCGCCGAATTAGGAGATGACAAAACCGGAGCTGTCGGGGGAACCAGTCGCAGCAATACTTATAGACCAGAAACCAGAAGGGGCAAAATGAACTACACGGTTTCCCACTGTCTGAGATGGCCGTTCCTGAAATCAGCCATGAGGCGCCGGCGGATCATGCGGACCGTCGTAATAAACAATACATGAACTACCAGCTAATCCTCAATCACTAGAGTAGAGCACATGAGGTAGTAATCATTCAACCCGCCTTTTCGCCCTAGGCATAGTGCTAAAGGAGCCTCATAGTAATCTGAATTGTGGTATATAGACATGATTATTGTAATACTCAAGTAGCAAGACTAACGTGATAGGGATGGCACCTATCAACATCGGCTGCTAGCTATATGAAGCAAAAGCCTTGGCGCGGCTATGGCAATTGGGTCTGCACAAGTCCCAGCTACATAAGCAGGCTTCAAGACATCACATTGAACGCTAAGAAACCGTTACAACTTTAAGTCTATTGAAAGTGACGGGTTTTCATGACATGCAGCAATGCTGTAACATACAGTCAATGTCTGGGCAAATTTAGATCCAATCATTTCTGAACATCGGTCGGCACTTGGTTTCGTCTCCGGGGCTTTGTCTCCGGATCTGATTCAGATCCTTGCAAGTGACGCGGTTATTGCGAGCCTGTTAGCAACAATGCGCACAACAGCAAATGAACGCCACACCAGACACGCTCAACGCCTTGTCAGAATGACGATGCTAACAAACATACCATATCACACCAGCCACTCACTGCCTCAACGATGAAGTACGACAACGCTAGCTCAATAGAAGCAAGGAAAGCACTTTTCAGCCACGTCATGACAATTCGCCTCACAGCTTCGAGAACCAGAGAATTGACAATAGCCTTGTCACATTCCTCTCTTCCACAAATAGCAACGTCATGCTAAGACTCAATCATCTCCTCCTACAAATATGCAGCTTGAACGGTCTTCTGGCAGTGCAACTTTGATTTCTTCAATCATCTCACTGTCGTTATTTCGCGGTCCTTTGCCTACTAGAATCGGCACCGACTGAATTCTTGTCCAGTTGCCCGCAGCTTCTACCTTTGCATACCAATCATGGCGAAAACTAAACAGGCAGGAGTTACGGGACTACTTACTCGATTCGTCCCGGAGAGGCTCAGACAATCAGGGCTCTACCGCTGGTGGCTCCGTTTCACCCGCATCTTGCAGTTTCTCTCAGCTGTCATTTCGCTGGGCATTTTCTCCTCGCGATTATACAAGGTCTATCGCCTAGTCAATTCCATCAAGGCTGAGCGAGGAGTCAACCATGCCTCCGGCGCCGTGGAAGGCATTCTTGCTGCTGCTGTCTTGTACACGATCATCGCCACCATCATGATGTTCCTGATGCGCGGCGGTGGTCCGACGTGGCTCCGCTGGCTCTGGGTCCTGTTCGACATTCTCTTCGTCGGCGCATTCATTGCCGTGTCTGTTCTAACGCGACCGAATGGTGGAGTTGTTGGGCCACGGCATTGCTACGATAATCGTGGGCGCAAATTGACTGGCACTGGCCAGGTCGCAGATGCACACGATGATTCATGCAATCTACCATGGGGTACTTTTCTTCTAGCAATACTTAGCACGTAAGGAGCCTTTTCCACTTGAAGTATGACCCGAGTGTGGAGCTAATTGACACCAGGATTCTACATGCTATCACGGCCTGCTTCCATGAAGTAAGGGAACACCACCGAAAGAACAGATACCCCGACGCGTACAAAGAGGACCAAGCTAGCCACAACAATAACAGGCAACCTATGGTAGACTATCATAATGGGCATTCGGCAAACAATGGCACTCACATCCCTCAACAGGGCAGAAGAGGCCAACACGTTGTTTAGTGGCACAATTGTGGCGCTTGGTGGTTACAGGTTAACAGAACGTGGAGAAATACGGACAAATAATCGAGTCGAGGCTTGAAGAGTGTGTGTTTAAAGGTTTGCGGCTGCGTTATACAAAGCCATGGAGGAGGCGTCTGGTTATAGGAGTTTCAAAGTGCTGGCAAGTGGCTTGCTCGGAATATACCAGATTCACTGTCCTTAAAATAGCATCTCATTGAAATAGCTTGATTGAATTCTGATGGTCAACTTCGAGTCTCCAATAATACAACACGCTAAACAGCAGAAGGCAACTGCACCAAAAGGTCCGTTGACGAGTAGTAAGACAAGCTCATAGATATATCTCGCGTAGTTTTGTTGTTCGGGACTCATGCCGAAATTGATAGGAACTCGGTTTTGGGTTCGCATTTAACTTGTCAAACGGGCCGTGCTTCGCTTACTGTCGGTGCCGCTCAATCATCCCCGCGTTTCTAACCTCGAAGGTATGCTCTGTACTCACGAATCCAGTACTCCAATAGCACCCAGAACACATAAACATCATCCAAGCGATAGACGCAAAAGGGATGAATATTTCAGAGCCTACGACTGGTGCAGATACATCAAGAAGGCTTCGTATCCGGGAACTTGGATATAAGCCTGGCAAATTTAACCCGGGCCTGAAGAACTCCATACTCGATGTACCTGGTATGCCCGCTCACCAGAAAACCTAGAAGGCGTTTAGCAGAACTAACAAGATTGGATATAGGCTTGCGGGTCGGCCAAGCCACCGTTCACCAAGACCCTGATATCCATACTGGGGTTACCCTGATATTCCCACGAGGGCTCAAGGACACTGCACTTCATCCCTGCTACGCAGCAACACACGATCTCAATGGCGCGGGCGAGCTGACAGGCTGTCACATGTTGCATGAGTGGGGATATCTACGAAATGTGTGTCTTCACTAAGTCAACCTATTCTACGCATAATCGTTTACTAAGTAGAACATCCATAGCCGATCGCCATCACCAACTCTATTAGCGTCGGTAAGGTCTATGACGAAATCTGCATTTGGGCCCTTGATGAATCCGAGGCAAGAGGCGAGGATGATCTAGAGTCACTACGACGTTTCTCCATACCGATTGTCGGTGAGACCTTTGACGGCTATCTCAATGATATTCGGGCGTCGGTGATCGGTAGAGACGTTGTGCGTCGAGCAATTCTGGCAGCTGATACTCAGGGGGAAGTCCTAGAAGGCAATCACGGCGGAGGCACGGGCATGATCTGCCATGGATTCAAGGGCGGCACAGGGACAAGTTCCCGTCTTGTTCCAGGTGTGGAGAGAAGTTATACCCTTGGTGTCTTAGTACAGGCAAACTATGGGAAGAAGGATGCCTTCAGGATTGGCAATGTCCCAGTAGGTAAGATGCTCTTGGACATGCAAATCACGGAGAAAGATGCACAGAAACTCCCGGCCGGTGGTAAGGCCGTAGAAGGCAGTAAGCATATCAGATCACATGAGCAAGGCAATCACTGATCCTGTTCCAGGCATAATCGTGATCATAGCGTATGCATTCAACATCACGAAGCTATTTCGGCATGAACTTGGACTGACCCCTTTTCAGAACGGATGCCCCTTTGCTACCGAATCAACTTCGTCGATTAGCACAGCATGCCGGAGTGGGCGTGGTACAGGTGAGTGCATGGCTACGAGCATATTTAGACGTACGTAACCTGATAACACTCTCACAGGTTGGAGGCCATGCCTCAGGTCGCAACTTCTCAGGCGAAATCTTCCTTGCATTGTCCACAGGCAATGCATCGGCAGATGAACTGGCCCAAGACTCCAACAGTCAAGCCTTCCTCCCAAAGCTCGAAACACAACAGCTGGAACAAGTGAAAAACGAAACCATCGACTCTCTACTCCATGCTGTTTCGGAGGCAACAGAGGAAGCCATCCTGAATGCGGTGTGTATGGCCGAAACCTTGGTTGGATTTAAAGACAGAAAAGTTGAGGCTTTGCCATTAGATAAAGTGCAACGTCTTCTCGACCAGCACTTGTATCAGAAAAGTACATAGTCAACAAGTAGGATCCAGGATGTGTTCATCTCTGAATGCTTAGAAGACACTGAGCAAAAGGTCTTACGAAGATGGTGCCAACATAGCTTTTATATTTTCCTTACGTAGTCGTCCATCGTGAGACGCATATCTATTATCTATTCATGACCGTGCGTTTGTTGGTTGGGGGCTGGGGTTGGGGGGTTTCATGGCCGTTTGTGCAGATCAAGTGCTGCACTCAAGGGGTTAGTTGAGGGGGAATCATTAAGGGGAGCAATCCAGGCTCAGACAAACTCCAATCGCTATGCAAACCATTTTTTGTCTGGTGTCGAAAAAGCAAAATCATCAAAATCGTCTCTCATTGACCAATGCTGTGAGCTGCCCACGACCATAATCATCCAGGTCGAAAGCTCAAGAGGCAGCGCACAGGGATCCTCCAAATTATGTGATTACAAAGTGAAATCGTCAGAAGACCGGGTAATTTTCCTCGAGTGAGGGTCATCAGGTTCTCCAAAGCAGATCTACTGCTTCAGTCGCAAGTCATAGACTTTGAGATCCAACTTGGAGGACTCGAAGACGTGACCAGCGGGCTTCTTGTTGCAATCTGTATATAGGTTGTCGATGCTGTGCTGGTGGAAAGTTTCCTGTCTCTTGCAATTGATGAGGTGAGGAAGACCGGGCGGGTCAGTGAGGCGGAAAATGCCGTAACTGGAAGGGATTTTAGTAACAAGTAACAGTTGAACTAATCGAAAGCTAGTGGGGAAAATGCACTTACGAAGGCTCATGATTCGGGGCGCACACGATGGCAATGCTCTCAGGCATCATCTGCTGATAGCCAGCCTGAGTATGGAGGTCTCGGGAGCTCATAAAGCAGGTCTGGGTGGGATGGGTGTGGATCCAGCCGAAGATCATCAAGTCCTGGGCGATAAGGTACTCAGTATACTCGTCCTCGTCCTGAGTTTCGCACGTGTCACTGGTACAGATCTGTCGTGGGATGATCAAGTGGCTGACGAACAGAGCATTATTCACATTCGTTCCGCACAAGATACCGCACATTTCGAGCCCGCGGCGAGTATTTCCATCGGCAAGGTAGAGGAAAGTGTCGCGAAGTCCTTCGGGAATGAAAATGGATCGCAGGCCCTTGCCATTCTCGAGTTTGGCAACGTGACTGAAGGTAAGACGCTCTTCCTTAGCTGGAGGCGGGCTGGCCGTGACCTTGGGTGGAACCGAAGGTAGAGTTTGAGACGAATCGTAGGCTGAAACGGCGGCGGCGCCCTGAGAGGCAAAGGGCTCTTTGGCCGGAAGAGACGGCGGCGCGATAGCTGGGGATGAAAGGGAGAACGACTCCTTGGGAGGTCGTAGAGGAGCGGGCTCGAGCTTTCGCAGGGTAGATGGCTGGGATTCGTATCGGTAAGGAGTGGACTTGGAGATGCTAGGGTAGTTGTAAGAGACAGATGAGGATGTAGGAATGGAGTCGGCACGCGACATGTTGGTTCCAATGGTTCTGCGAAGGTGGGCTTGCTCGATGGCATTGACATCCTCAGCTAGCTCAAGCTGACGTCGAGCAGCATCCATCTGCGATCTGAGGTCGTCATCCTGGCCCATGTAAGGCTTGGTGACAGCAGTAACATCAAAGCTGTCCCATAGCCCAGCTCCACGTCTGGCCTGCTCATCTTCTTCGCTGATACCGGCCTGGCGAGTTGCTTTGCGTGCCGCATCTCTGCGATGGAACTCCTGCTGTGCAAGATCGACAGCGAGGTCTTGGTTCTGGCCAACGTCAAGTATCCTAGATTGGCGCTGGGCTTCAGCTTGCAGGCGCTTGACGGCATCCTCACTAGCACTCAGTTTCTTCCACTCGTTGTATGAAGCTGTGATTGTGGGCTTCAGCTCCTCAAGCTCATCCAGCACTCTGTTAAAGCGTTGAATGAGTGGCTTGAGGGCAGCTTTGCCTTCGGAGGTCTTGGCTTCGGGGTGTCGTGGCAGGTAATCCCAAAGAAGGTCGCTGTGTCGCATAAACAGCATGTAGGCCTGCTCGGGGTTGCCATTGCGCTTCTCGTTGATGGCCTAGTGCAGATAGTGTTAGCAAGGGGAGACGCGACATCATCTCACGTCCAAGTCACACTCACCTCCGTGAACAGAGTTCTAGCCGCCTGGGTCCAGAACTTGAATGGGATATTCTTGTTGAAGTTGAACTCTGCTGCCTCATCCGAGAGCTCCTTCACACTCCTAGGGCGGGCTGGCTTCCCCGACAGGCCCACCATCGTGAAGGTTGAGTGATAGCGGGCTTCTTGTATTATGCTGGGGCAGAAAGAGACAGGATGGAAGTCGCAGAAGGGAAGAAGGAACAGAGAGCAAGACCACAAAGGGTAGAATGCTGTAGAAAATCAAAGACGAACTTGGCCAAACTCCAGAGAAGTAGGCTGCCGCTATGTGATCTTGCGCATGATACAGCAGCAGGATGCAGCTGAGAAGAGAAGTCACAGTATGATAGGGAGTCAAAGGGAAGTGTATAGAGACATCTTTCTTTGTTGTGCGAAAGGAGGGGATCGACGACGAAGGGCGAAAGGCGATATGAGGGAAGGTGAGGGTGTCGGAAGGTAACGTGAAGATGGACGTTTGCGGGGGATAGTTCGGAGTTGAAGCCTGTCCCTGATCATGGACCTTGACGGCTTACTGCCCCGCGGTCACTAGCGCTTTGGTAGACGCGTCAAAAACTTGGTGGGGTAGCAGTCATCACGGGGTCGTGCACGTGGTGATTAGAACACCATGGCTTATTATCGCTTATCTCTACTTCAGCAACCTCAATGACAACATCAACAATGAAGCACAGGTCTTATTGCATGTTTAGGAAGAACAGAACATGATGTTCTTTGAGAGTTTTCCTTGAGTATCCAGTTCTGTGAGACTTGATACAATGCTCATTGATAACCCTAGAGATCAACTAGCCTTCTCATCTTGTCATTGTAAAGCAAATTTGAAATTATGTACACCTTAATCGAGATCGTCCTCCTAGTTGAAAGGTGGATTGCCGTCTTTCAATTATCATGTAAGCAGCACTGTTCTCAGTCATTCAAGTAGCGCAATCATGGTTACGTATGAAAAGGGACATGCTCGGGGTTTCACGTAGCACTTACAATTGGTCAGCGTATTCAGCCACCAGCCTTGCTGCGGTTTCAGCTCTGTAATGGTTGTCCAATGTGTTTGTGCAGTTCTAACCAATGAAATCTTCGTAATTATTTCGCCAATAGTGACCTCCTTTGGAGGCCTGTCCCAAGCCTGATTCTCTTGTGTTCCTTACTGCTCAGGCTTCATGCGACGATGCCGCAACGCTGCCTCCTCGAATCCTTAGGCCGTTGACCCTACAATAACAGGCAGATACCTAGGTATAGCGTATCATCATGGATGGATTATCTGTGGCTGGAACTGCTATCGGCGTCATCTCACTGGGGATTCAAGTGACTCAATCACTTGTCGACTTCTACTCTGCCTACAAAAATCAGAAGAATGAGGTCTCTCACACCATCAATAGGTTGACGCATCTCCTCAGCTCACTCGAGATCTTGAAAGATCAGCTAGGAACTAGAAGGTTCCTCGCCGAGGAGCAAGCCCTACTGCAGAATATACAGAATTCAATTCAAGACTGCGATGAATATATCCATGAGCTGCAGGATCAGTGCGACAAACTCAAGGACAGTTCTTCCGACAGTATTCGAGCCGCGGCCCGTACTGCTGCGCGCAGGTTGGCATACCCTTTCCGACAAAGCACGTTACAGACACTGGAAGAGACCATTGATGAGATGGTATCACATCTGTCGCTAGCTCTTCAAATCCTACAACAGAAAGATATAAGTAATGTTCACGATGATATTCAGAGCGCCCAGGTCTTGCTCGATTGTATCAGGATCAGCCAAATCTCATCGGAGATTCGTCAATGGCTCAAGCCACCTGATGCTTCCTCGAATTATTATGAGTCTATCAAGAAAAGATATCAGGCCACTGGACTCTGGTTCGTTCAAGGACCTTCATTTGCCACCTGGCTTACAAAGCCCGACTCCCTTCTATGGCTTCATGGCTTTGCAGGATGTGGAAAGTCAGTGTTGTGTTCGACAGTTATTCAGCACACTTCTTGGCTGCAAAGGCTGCACAAGCGCAATGCCGTCGCGTTTTTCTTCTTCACATTCAATGACAGCGCCAAGCAAGACACTTCTGCAATGCTCCGCGCCCTGGTCTTCCAGCTTTCGTGCCAGCTTGGCGATAATCATGTGCTTCTTGCGCGTTTTTACAACGACAATCGTGACACATTACCATCGAACCAAGCACTGATTGGCTGTCTACAGCAGCTATTACAGGAGTTTGACAACACATACATTATCCTGGATGCACTTGATGAAAGCATCCGAGGTGGATGCCGTGGTGAAATGTTGCAGACCCTCGCTGACCTGCGAGCGAAGTCAACACCCGGTCTCCATGTATTAGCCACGAGCCGCGATGAACCTGACATTCGTGATGCACTTATTCATGATGTCGGTGTATTGCCAGACGAAATAGTGTCTCTCAAGAACAATTTGATCGATAGCGATATTGCTGCCTTCGTATCTGGCACGTTGAAAAGCAATCGGCAACTGAGAAAATGGGAGAAGTATCATCAGGAAATCGAAACCGCGCTTACAGAGCGTGCCATGGGCGTGTACGTTGAACATTTCTTTGGGACACTTTGAAGGGGTGCTAAACAGAACGGAACAGATTTCGATGGGTCGAATGCCAGTTCACTGCACTGGAGTCCTGCGCTAGAAGCAAACGTCATCTTGATGCATTGCTAGCATCCTTGCCGCAGTCCCTGGACAAGACATATGAGCGGATGTTGTTGAGCATCAGCAACGAGTCCAAAGAGGATGCAAGGCGTATATTGACAATGCTGTGCTGTGCCAAGACCCCGTTGACCGTATTAGAAGTCATCGAGGGCCTTGCAGTAGAGCTTGGCGAAGATCCGCGGTTCAACCCTGATGGTAGGCTGGATGACGAGGAAGATATTCACCGTATTTGTCCCGGTCTCGTTGAAATCGATCATTATATTTATAACAGAAAGTCTACTGTGCGCATCGCCCACTTTTCAGTCCAGGAATATCTGGAATCGGACCGTATATGTCAGAGCGCGGCCGCTGCCTTTGCTGTCAGGATTCCCGAAGCCCATGCTGAGATGGCTTGCATTTGCCTGACTTATATGCGAGAACTGCATCCGACGTCTGACGTAGCACACTACCCGCTCGCAAAGTATGCCGCAAAACGCTGGTTTCGCCATTATCATGACGGTGATCCCCGAGTTCACGGAATTGAGCGCGAAGTCGTTCGTCTTTTCCGGAACAAGAGCGGCGAACTAGACATTTGGCGAAGGATTTGGGATGCTAGAATACTTCGTCCTCTGACACTGTATGCCGCTGACAGCGAACCCGTGCCATTAGCGGCACCTATCTTTTACGCCTCCCTCCTCGGACTTGACTCGATCATCTTGGAGCTGCTGTCTATAGAAGAAACTCCCGATGTGGTCGAACTGACTGATTGGTTTGAAATGGCCTTGGAAGCTGCATCTGGACTTGGCCATGAAAAAGCAGTCAGAATCTTGCTCGAGAAGGTCATCAATGTGGGAAATGCATTGCAGGCAGCATTACGCGCTGGTCACGACAACATTGCGCGCTTACTATGCAGAAATGGGAGAGATTTTGACGGGCCAAGGGGTATGCTAGTAGAAAATCTGATAGAAGCGTTGCATTGTGGCGACGAAACGGTAGTCAGGTTCTTGATAAAGAAAAGTAAAGAGGTCAATCGACAGGTCGAAATGGATAAAATTGCATTGGACGTTGCTACACGCCGTGGAGACGAAACCATACTTCAGATGTTACTTGAAGATGAGATACACCTTCGACTAGAATCCTGTTCTTGGCAAGCTGCCCTAGAGGAAGCCGCTCTTGCAGGTCGAGATCGAATTATGAGAATGCTTCTAGAAAAGCAGCCGGAGATTGAAGAACCCTGCACGCTCGATGGTGCTCTACATGCGGCAGCCCTAGGAGGCCACGGGACAACAATACAACTTCTACTAGAAAGGGGTGCAAATATTGATGTGCAAGGTGGATATTTTGGGGCCGCAATCCATATAGCATCGGGCAAAGGCCACGAAAAAGTAGTCAAGCTACTTATCAACAGGGGGGTTGATGTCAATGTTACTGGGTCACATGGACGTACGGCTTTATCATGGGCAGCTGCTCGAGGTCACATATCTATCGTCAAGCTGTTACTAGCAAATACTTTGATACGACCAAACCAACAGGATAGGTTTGGTCGCCCGGCTATGTTTTACGCAGCCCGGACAGGACAACGCCAAGTACTTGAAATGCTTCTTGCAGCACAAGATACGGACATTAATCACCGAGACTGTTATGGCTCAACGCCGCTGTCGGTGGCCGTTCGGGGCAAGCATAATGAGCTGGCAGACTTTCTTCTTTCTCTTCCTAATATTGACATTGGTGTGGAAGACAACTTCGGTCGCACCCCCTTCTGGTGGGCCATCAACATGGAGAATACCCAAATCGCGAATCGTCTCACTCAGCTCAGCTTGGCAGCCAATATCCCTACTGACTCTCGCAAGTCTTCGCTGCTCGTTAAGCACCCTGCATTAATCACTCGGCAGGAGTCATGGTGCGATATATGTATGATCTATACTAGGAGCGCACTTCGTTACAGATGCAGATTCTGTGACGATGGTGCTTTCTGCATTTGCTCTGACTGTTTCCAGGTGGGTGGTCATTGCCTGGACAATTGTCATATTCTGTACATCGTGGAAGCAAAATGATATAATCTACGAGAGTATAATCTGCAAATGATGTTTCTGATTTATCTGGATATCTGCGAACGTGAAGGGTCAAGGCAGTTGGCAGTTATTGGATGATTGTGATCAAAAGACGATGTACCTAGCATTGATTACCTTTGGAGTAATTGTCGTGATGGGAATCGTCAGTGCAATCAGTCCAAGAACAAACCCCTTGAGTGTTTCTCTATATGCTTCGTTTCATCAGTAAAGAGTCCCTGCCTGGTCGACTTCATTGAATTGGCGAGGTTACCAGATGACGGTGGTCTACCGCTCGGGATTTCTCGGGATGGGCACAAAGACCGGGCCAGACCGCTCGTTACAGGGGCGACGCTCACTCACTTATTAACAGTTGACAACTTATGGACATGATTTCTGGTCTCATGTTCCTGAGGCTGAGCGGCATCTCTGACGTGCATATCAGGTGGTTTGGCCCTGGAGATCATTTCTTTACAATTTGCTTGCCCCCATTGCCCCCCACGGCAGGCTTTTGTGCCTGAGGGTTCAGCGGCAGAGGTGCGAGTGCATCCCGCCGTGAGGCCCCATTGCCACCCTCGCGTGGTGCCATCTCGACTTCAAGGAACATGCGATTTCGACGCAATCCCGTCAACCCCGTTTCTTTCTTTCTTCTTCGTGTCGAAATGCTATTGGTTTACAGAAGCCTGGAAACTTGTGAGGCTGCAAGGCTCCTGAAGTATTTCAAGGTAATAAAAGTCTCATGCCCTCTTCAATCTCATCGTCGTGTGTTCTAAGCACGATTATTTCATACTGTTCTGCGCACACCAACGCATCAAACTCGATAGCTGAGATTTACATGACTATATAATCTATTCAACATGGCCGGTACTCCTACATCACAGCAAGATCCCTCTCTAGACTCAAAATGTCGAGGTAAGCTCTTAGACTCGAGATCACGATTACAAAGATCAACCCTCCCTAACATCTTATTCTCAGAGACAATTGATCGTACATTCCCATTCTTCGTCATCCACAATAACCACGTCACCATCCTGCCCAACACGACCCTCTTCTCCATCACCAGCCAGGTCTTCACCACCGCCATCGCCGTCTTCGCCCTCCCCGCCGAGAGCCAGGCCGTGCTGGCCACAGAGCCCAGCCTCAAGAAGCTGCTGGCCGCCATCTTCGACGCCGAGCACCGCGCTTTCGTGCTCGAGGACTCGGACCGCATCCTCGCCGTGCTGGACGAGGACGCCAAGGCGTGCATCCTGGCGCAGGCCATCGCGGGCATCGTCTTTGTGCTGCGGCGGCTGGTGGGCCTTCACGGTGGGGAGCTGACCACGGCGGCGTTTGAGAGGCAGCTGCGTCTGTTTGCGGGCAGTGAGCAGCGCAGGACGATTCTGGATCGCGTGGAGAGGAGCCACCTCTGGGGCAACTGCTTTGCTAAGCCGGAGATCCTGAACATGATCATGGATGCGATCAATGTCGATATGGAGCAAGATTCGGGCCGGTCATCGCCGGTGTTGAAGCTGGAGGATGATCTTCTTGACCCCGTTGCGTGGGTCAATGAGCACCACCCGACGAGAAACCTGGGCGTTCCGGAGGGTCTTACGATCATGGCGTTGAACTAGGGCGGGCATCTCACGATGTTGATGGAGGCAAATTCACGCAATGGCTGCGGTGCATGTGCCTGGCATATGCGCCCGTTGGCGAGAGTGCATACTGAGCTATACCGGACAGGACTGAACGAAGACAGTCATCATGTCTCTTGATAAGCGCGGCGTATTGGTTGCCTGGGTATATATGGACACACATAGTCTAAGTTTTAGTATATGAGACAACGAATCATCAAATCAGTCCCCTCTGCTTCTTGACTTCTCTCCTTCCCATAGTGACACCTTCTCTCACGCCTGAACAGCAGCGGGCTGTGCTGCCTGAGCAGTGGTCTGGACCTGGATGATCTCGGTCTTTTTCTTCTCGATCTTGTCCTGCGTCTCCTTGATCTGCTGCTCTAACCTTGAGCTATACATGGGATAACATATCAGCTTTATGTCTTTAAATGTGATTAAAAGCGGCGCAGTTAACTCACATCTCCTTGGTGATGAAGTCCAGCCGACCGTTGACAGTGCCCTCCGCCTCGAACTTGTCCTGCTTGAGAAGCACCGGGCCGACGAGCTTGTAGATGGTCTCATCGTCCTTGAGCTTCTCAAACTCGCTCTGTACGCCGAGGTTCTCTTGCTTCTGCGCCTCGAGCTTCTGCCGTGAGGTTACGATCTCTTGGAGCTCTGATATTCGAGATTAGCGATAACTATTTGGGGGTCAGAACAACGGCTGGAGATGCAGACCTGTCTGGAGTTTCGTGTAGTCCTCGGAGAGGGCCTGGAGCTTCGCCTGAACCTCCGCCATTGTGTGCGTGCGTGTGTTACAAGATCTCAAGAGCTATGGGGCCACACGTGAGCTTGTTCACTCAGACTCAGGAGTTTACTGGTGAGAAAAGCGTCGGGATGAAGCTCGGACAGCGTCGTGAGGCTTGGTTCTTCTCGAAGCTTCAAGATAGTATAAGTTTAAGAGTAGGTAATCGCCGGGATCGCCTGGCCTAGATTTCTGAGCCGAGCTGAGGCTAGCCTTTAGATTTGATATGCTTGGTGATACTGTAGTTCTGCCTCAATCTCAATGGTGGGATGAAAGTTGTGCCTGGCAGAAAATGGAGGCGGATCTGTTAGTGCAGATACCGATATAGCCCAAGACTTTCAGGGGGACCATCGCGGCTTAACCCGCTGTGATGAGCCAAGCGAGCGCTATAAGCGGAGTCCTAAGCCGGAGCTCTCAGGTCGCACCCTAACAGCCCAGGGGCGACGGGCGGAAATGGGTAGGCTCTGGCGTCACTTCGCTGCTGGTTACCCCGCCATCCGTCCACACAGACACAGACGCAGACACCGGACATCGCTGCGTAGCTCCCGCCAAAGCCAAGGCCAGGCCACTCACCCACAGCAAAAGCAGGCAAAAGCATCACGACCGACCTCGCACTCTTCTACCTGCAGCAGGCCACACGAGAGCCCGGACAGCGAGTTGCTCTGGTGTTGATAGCAAGCAGACATCGTGTGATTTACTCTCGACGACAACCCTCTAGCCCTCGAAGCCACACTGTCTGGGCGCTATCTTTCTCCTCTCGTGGTGCATCGGTGCATCGGTCCATCATCGTCATCGTCATCGTCCTTGGAGACAGATAGACAGCACGCCCCCCGACAACACTCCTATACTCACACAAGAAAGGCCCCGATCCCCACCGCCCACAATGTCCAACACCGACTTCCTCGGCCGGGCCATCGACCAGGTGCGCAAGGCCATCGAGGCCGACAACTCGGCGCAGTACGACAAGGCCTACCAGATGTACTACCAGTCGCTCGAGCTGTTCATGCTCGCCCTCAAGTGGGAGAAGAACCCCAAGTCGAAAGAGATGATCCGCCAGAAGACCGCCGAGTACATGGACCGCGCCGAGAAGCTCAAGTCCCACCTGTCCGACGCCGACGCCAAGCGCAAGAAGCCCGGCATGGTGGGCGCCAACGGCTCGTCCACGGGCGGCACGGGCAAGGGCAAGGAGAACGGCGAGGACGGCGACGCGGCGGTGGACGAGGACAGTAAGAAGCTCAGGTCTGCGCTGGCGGGCGCGATCTTGCAGGACAGGCCCAACGTCAAGTGGGAGGACGTGGCGGGTCTCGAGGGCGCGAAGGAGGCCCTCAAGGAGGCCGTGCTACTACCCATCAAGTTCCCCCAGATGTTCCAGGGAAACAGGAAGCCGTGGAAGGGTATTCTGCTGTATGGTCCTCCAGGAACGGGAAAGAGTTATCTGGCAAAGGCACTGGCGACGGAGGCAAAGAGCACCTTCTTCAGCGTCAGCAGTTCCGACCTGGTCAGCAAATGGATGGGTGAATCAGAAAGGTGTGTTTAGCATGTTCTGCACAGGTGCTACTCGGAACACTGAGACTAACGATGCCTCCTCACAGATTGGTCAAGCAGCTCTTCAACATGGCCCGCGAGAATAAGCCTTCGATCATCTTCATCGACGAAGTCGACGCGCTATGCGGTCCCCGAGGCGAAGGCGAGTCCGAGGCCTCGCGGCGTATAAAGACCGAAATGCTGGTGCAAATGGACGGTGTAGGCAAGGACTCGACAGGCGTGCTGGTGCTCGGCGCGACAAACATCCCCTGGCAGCTCGATGCTGCCATCCGACGACGTTTCCAGCGACGTGTGCACATCAGCTTGCCCGACATCTCTGCCAGGACGACCATGTTCAAGATTGCTATTGGCGACACAAAAACTTCGCTCAAGAGCGAGGACTACAGAGAGCTGGCTAAACTGACAGAGGGCTACTCGGGGAGTGATATCGCCGTTGCGGTGCAGGACGCGCTGATGCAGCCGGTGCGCAAGATCCAGCAGGCGACACATTTCAAGCCGGTAAGCAAGCCTGACAGCAACCTCCATCCCATTCTCCTCCCATTGCGATGTACTAAAACTCCCCTCTCAGGTGACGGTCGATGGCCAGAAGAGAGTCACCCCTTGCTCCCCCGGCGAGCCTGACGCAATGGAGATGACCTGGGAAGAAGTTGACACCGATGAACTCCTCGAGCCCATTGTCGACTTCAAGGACTTTGTCAAGTCGGTCAAGTCCAGTAGGCCCACTGTCTCCCAGGAGGATCTCAAGAGGAATTCCGAGTGGACGCACGAGTTCGGATCCGAGGGTTCATAGTGAGGCTGTCCGCCTGCGAGTAGATGCAAGAGATAGTGTCTCGGATGAGAGGTCACGTATGGGCGTCAAGAATAGCAACAAGCGAGAGCGTACTACTGCTGCCGATCATGGAATTTCACTGGTGATAGGTCAGAAAGGGGGGAATATTTGCGTTATCTGTCTCCAGGAGGAGGGAGGAGCATGGCGTTTCGAAGAAAATACGCGAGTTGAGTTCATGTGGCATTTATTTTGGTTGATTCAAGCCTCCTGCATTCGGAACTGTTCATAGCCTTTGTAAATGGTTAATGAAAGAAATACGACACGAAAAAACCTGGGCATCCCATGTCCATTGTGACACGGAGAGATGGTCACAACAGCTCGAGAACAGTAGAGCACAGGTATCCTTTTATTCCATCTTGAGATGCTAACTATGCGATGGGTATGATGATACACAATCAACCAACCATACACAAAGATGTCAAAGTCCAAACTCCGATGCCAGATTTGATTTCCGAAAACCACCAACTCCGAGACACATAGACCAAGCTAAACACTTTCCAGCCAAGGGGGCATTACCGTAGATAACGAAGAAAGATGAGGAGTAGGAAGCTTAGGCACCGATGGAATGCTTCTTCTTCTTCTTGGTCTTCTCGCCATCCACGCCCTTCTTGTCCTTTTTGCTCTTCTTCTCGGACACGTCGACGTCCATAACGTCGGACTTCCGCTTCTTCTCCTTCTTGGACTTCTTCGTCTCGGACTCGACTGGTGCATCGTGGACATCAATCATCTCGGTGTCAATGGCTATGTCGCCTCCGTCGCCAAGGATGGCGTCCATGGCGGACCTCATAGCATCCTCGTTCTTCTGGGGCTTCTTGCCGGAAGCGTAGAACTCAAGGCGGTCCTCTAACTGTTGGCGAAGGGCCTCGCCGAAGTGTGATGACGGGTTCTCGGAGAAGTTGTCGATACGGGAAGCGATACTGCACTTGTTGGCAAGGTATCTGCTGATACGGCCCTTGGTGCGGGCGGGGGCTCGGCCGATGAACGAGGAGGAGTAGATCAGACCGTACTTGGGAGTCGCGCCCTTGGTCTTGAGAGCGCGGAACAGCGCCTTCTCGGCACCGAGAATCTGGAGAGTGGAGGCAGGGTATTTGGCGAGGTTGGTGAGGGATCCGGCGTGAGAGATGAGGCGGGCGGCGACGGGGGTGCCGAGAATGACCTGCAGGTTGGGGGCAACATCCTTCATCTTCTTGTCTAGTGACTCAGATAATTGTCTGCGGTAGGCAGCCATCTTGGTGACGGAAGTTGCAAAGGACTTGACCATGGCCAGGTCGGTGTCGGTAATATCCTGCCCCATAGAAACCTTTGCAGCGTTGATGATGTCCTGCGCTTTGTCTCCATCGTCTCCAACAACAGTAGCAATGTCATGTAGCTTGTCATCGGTGAGCTCCTTCTTGTTGCCGATGGCAAGCACCAGCTTGGCATAGGTGACGTTGTCGGATGCGATTCGAATGAGTTCGGGGAAGTGCCAGCCGTACCACTCCCTCACACGCATGCAGCCAGCATTGATACCCTTGTCAAGAGCATCCAGAGTCGCAATCGCCTGGATGATGTGATTGTCATTCTTGTGTACGCTGAACTTGACCTTGGCACGGGAGTAGGCGTGGCCCATACCGAGCTGGGCGCGGGAGATGTCGCCCTCCTGGAGGCCCTTCAAAAGCTTCTCAGCGTGCAGGCGGATGCCTCGCAGCAGCTCAGCGACCACGTCGGAAGTCTCGCTCGTCTCGCACTCCACACCCTTAAATTCGGAGCTGATCTCTCCAGCCAACTTCTTGTCCTGGACACCGAGGACAACCTTGCTCTTGGATCCACTGGTCTGGGGAAGGTTGAGTTCGAGGACAGACTTCAGGTAGTCGGACATAATTCCCTCGGACAGCATGTTGATATTTTCGAGGGTCTCGGCCGCATTGCTAGTTCATAATTAGAATAATTATCTCTTGCTAATTGCTTGAGCCTCAAATAAGAGGCCATAGTCTCCATAAGTACACACCGGTAGGGAGTGAAGTTGACAAGCTTCACATATTTGGTGAAGGTGCTCAGGTTCTTGAGCGAATCCTGAACTTCCTTGTTGCGCAGCCCCACGATGTCCGCCTGGTTGACGACTTCAAAGACGGCATAACCAGCGGCAGACTCAAAGAGAAGGTAATTGATGTTTGCCATCTTTGCAATCCCGATGTGGCAGCTGCTGAAGGCGCTGAACCACCTGTTTTGACTGTTGTTTGTTCGATCGGTCTGCTGCAGGCGACGGATTTGCACTGGGAGCTACCTCTCGATATTTTTTTTCTGCGTTGAGAATTTTTGGCAGAGCTTCTAGACGCACGGGCCAAGTGGGGATGGGCCATCACGTGGGACAACCAATAATGAGTCGAATTGATGCACTTAAGTGCCAGGCTAGTCAGCAGTCTTCACCAGGTGGTGCTGACTGACTGCCAGCTGGTCACTTTGACCTCTATTAATGGCAAGGAGCTTGGCTGGTGAGGCTTGTGAATGACGACGCTGCATCGCCACGACTGCAGCACACAGCCACAGCATTGGCCCTGAGAAGCAGGGAGCTCTTTCAATGCTGTCTCGAACAGGCTGTTTTCATTGGCGATGACCTCACAGCTGTCTTTATTATGTGACATGTTCCACTCACTCTGAAGGCAGTATAAACAATTCTCTCTTTCTTACTCTGCATTTTCCTGTGAATCGATCTCTCTGTTGACAGTTTTCTTCGACCTCAGCCCCTCCAGACTTACAACAACTCCTCCACCTTAGAGCTCCGCCTCATTCTGTATGCCAAGTGCTAGGTCCAGATTAGCTGGCTTTGTTTCTATCTTTGTACTTATTACTGCTCTCCTGCTGAGCAACTTCTCTCCTATCCAACAATTCGCATCCCTCTTGAAGTCATTATCCATCAGCAATATGGGCGGCGGACCGGAAGGTTACCGCACGGTAGCATATTACGTGAACTGGGCTATCTACGCCCGCAAGCACCGGCCCCAGGATTTGCCGGCTGAGAAGTTGACCCATGTTCTCTATGCCTTTGCCAACGTCCGCTCAGACACCGGCGAGGTCCATCTCACCGACACATGGGCCGACACGGACATCCACTGGGAAGGTGACAGCTGGAACGATGCTGGCACCAACCTGTATGGCTGCTTGAAGCAGCTGAACCTCCTGAAGAAGCGAAACCGCAATCTGAAGGTTCTCTTGTCAATTGGCGGATGGACATACTCGGCCAATTTCCGAGGGCCAGCTTCCACGCCAGCTGGCCGAGACACTTTTGCCAAGTCAGCAGTCGCATTGCTCAAGAACCTCGGCTTCGACGGATTGGACATCGACTGGGAATATCCCCAGAATGCCTCCGAGGCTGCCGACTTCGTGGCTCTGCTCCAAGCATGCCGCTCAGAAATGGACGCCTACGCCGCCACTCTGCCGAGCAGACCCCATTTCGAGCTGACAGTAGCCTGTCCGGCCGGCCCGCAAAACTACGAGAAGCTCAACCTCCCTGCCATGGACAGGCTGCTTGACTTCTGGAACCTGATGGCCTACGACTACGCAGGCTCGTGGGACGCTGTAGCAGGCCACCAGGCCAACCTGTACAGCTGCCACAGCAACAAGGCGTGCACGCCGTTCAGCACGGATCACGCCATCAGGTACTACACCAGTCACGGCGTGGCGCCAAACAAGATCGTCGTGGGCATGCCACTGTACGGACGGGCCTTCGAGAACACCGACGGTCTCGGCAAGCCGTACAGTGGCACCGGCGACGGCACCTGGGAGCGCGGCGTGTACGACTACAAGAAGCTGCCGCTACCGGGCTCGCAAGAGCATCATGACCATGAGGCGGGCGCGAGTTTCTGCTATGAGCCTGGCAAGAAGACCTTGGTGAGCTACGACACGGTTGATATGGCGAGGAAGAAGGCGGATTATGTGAGGCATCAGGGATTAGGAGGAGCAATGTGGTGGGAGAGCAGCGCTGACAAGGACGGCCCTGAAAGTCTGATTGGAAATGTTGTCGATGCGCTTGGATGTCAGAAGGCACTCAGATGGGAAGAGAACTGCTTGGAATACCCAGAGACGAAGTATGACAACCTGAAGAAGGGTTTCCCTGACCAGTAGAGCCTATATAGCATGATTAGGAGGCTATGAGGGTTTAGTATTACGACAGTCACGACAGCATCAGAATGAAATCCAAATTTGAAGCCAAGGATTTTCTTGTATTCCTTGCCGGTCAGAGCCAGTGAGATGATGATTCTATGATACATCAACGCCAGTGATGCGGTATCATGATAGCCACCAGATCCCAAATTCCAGATCGTCATCCCTTATCCATTACTCCTGATTACCATCCGTTCCCCTCGTGCTCGTGGCTTGATTTAATCCTTCTTGTCGAACACGTAGGTCAGGTGGCAGCGACCGCAGTACTGGCGATCCTGCATGGCAGCCATAAAGACACCGGCACCGCACTAGTGAGAAAATCTTGTCAGTATTTTTGTCCTCGAGAATCACACCCAAATAGGCCAGAACTCACAGTCTCGTTGGGGCACTCGCGGCGAAGGCGCTCGATCTTGCCATCAGAGTCGACCTTGTAGTACTTGAGGACGGCCAGCTTGGTCTTCTTCCTCTTGTGCTTGATCTTCTTGGGGGTAGTGTAGACCTTCTTCTTTCTCTTCTTGGCGCCACCACGCAGGCGCAGCACCAGGTGCAGGGTGGACTCCTTCTGGATGTTGTAGTCGGAGAGGGTGCGGCCATCCTCGAGCTGCTTGCCGGCAAAGATCAGACGCTGCTGGTCGGGCGGGATGCCCTCCTTGTCCTGGATCTTGGACTTGACATTGTCGATGGTGTCGGAAGACTCCACCTCAAGGGTGATCGTCTTACCCGTGAGGGTCTTGACGAAGATCTGCATGGTTGCCTGCTGTAGTTGTGAGTATGATTAGATTCTAGGGGAGGGGAGATAGCAAAGGATAGCGGAGGGCGTGATATAGGCAGTGGTGTTGTGGTGGGACATTGGGAAAATGACAAATGCTGCGAGATGGAATCACGAAGGCGGTTCTCGATGGTCGCCAGCAACCAACGAGAAGAACGCAATCGCAATCGAGGGTATCATGTCGTGATGAAGGGCATTGCAACGCAGAGTCCAAAAAGCAAGTCGGAACGTACCTCGACAAATGATTTGCCTTCCTAAGTAACCAAACCGACCTTCTTTGGACGTGTGATGAGGGAAAGGGAAGAGAGGAAGTTCGAGATTGAGGCTCGAGGAGGTTTAGAGCTTTTTTTCGCCTGCAGCTGGCGCAGTGTGGTGGGCGGTGGGCGGGCAAAAAGTTTCAGCCAATGACCAGCGGCGGGGCGTGTCACGTGTGTTCCACTCAACACCTTCCACAATTAGGGCTTTTTTTCCTAGGTGTGTGGGCGGATAATTGTTAGTGCACCTGCTTGTGTGGGCACTGATCGGTGGGTAATACCTACACTAGAAATTCGGATTTCTCTCTCCTCTCGAAATTTCCCTTTCCTCGACATCGACCAACTTCACAGCCAAGTCAGTCGCCCAACATGCCTAAGAAGAGAAAGAATAAGTTCGTTCAGTCCGATTCAGTTCAAGATCTCAGCAAGAGATAACGTGTTGGATCATAAACTGACATTTCCTCCCAGCGGCCGCAACAAGAAGGGCCGCGGCCACGTCAAGCCCATCCGCTGCTCCAACTGCTCGCGATGCACGCCCAAGGACAAGGCCATCAAGCGATTCACCATTCGCAACATGGTCGAGTCTGCAGCTATTCGTGCGTTAACGATCCTCCGAACACGTCGATCTGGACTGCGTATACTGACTCTTCTCGCCAGGTGATATCTCGGACGCCTCAGTCTTCGCTGAGTACACCGTCCCCAAGATGTACCTCAAGCTGCAGTACTGCGTCTCTTGCGCCATCCACGGCAAGATCGTACGGTACGTCTGTCTCCTCGGTGGAAGACAGCTGCGCTGGCCTAGTTCTTTGCTAGCTACCAGTGCAGGCGGCTGAGATGAACCTTGGCGGCCAACTGTTTATCCACCACCCTGTTCCCTCTTGTGTTGCGAACTCCTCCATATTGACAGAATCTCACAGTGTCCGATCCCGTGAGGGTCGCCGCAACCGTGCCCCGCCCCCGCGTGTTCGCTACAACAAGGACGGCAAGAAGGTGACGCCCACCCAGGGTGCCAAGGCTGCTTAGGATGCTACCAAGGCTTCTTCTGCCCCTGCTCCGACTCCGATGATTCAGACAACGACGACGCAGGCGCTCGGTGGTTGGTAGGTTGATTTTGGTATGATGGAAACGGATCACAAAGGCTTTTCTTCATTGGTCATTGGGAATTGCATGACCTTGCACGCCACGGCATGACAGTAGTAAGAATGGCGTGAATGGAATCCTTTTTCTCTCTTGTGTGACATAGGGGACCATAGATCCATAGTTTCGCCGAATGAGACCATCCTGGGCCCTTTTGCGGGCAACATGACAACCTTCGATAGTCCATGTATTTTCCATCAAATCCTTTCTACCTCGAAAAGCAGCCTCCGAGTCTTGGGATCATCCCATGTTCTCTTCCCGTCGAATATGCTGAGTCCGTTATCGAGCGAAGCTGTGACCTTCCATTGTGTGCCAGTCTTGTCGCCGAGCTCCTTGATCAGCTTTTCGAACGACTCCACATTATGTTTGAACGTCACCCTTCCCCACGCGCCGCCCGTAGCAATGCCATCCAAGTTGCCTGATGCCTGGCCTATGAACAATGTTCCTTTCTTTTCTGGTTTCAAGAGCTTGATCGCGTTCTCAAAAGCTACTATCTGTTCCTCCCAGCTGAACAAGTGCAGGATCATTCCAAGTTGTACAACATCTAATTTGCCTTCCAATTCTTCTAGCGATGAGCCCGTAATCGGCTCCAAGATGTTGGCAGACACAATGAGCGACTCCAGCGAGTCTTTATCACCGAACAGTTCATAGCCCAACTCAATGAAGCCGGTGTTCAGTTCAGCACCGGCAACACTCGACGCTGGTGCCCCATCATAGACCAACTTGCGGAGATCCTGTCCTAAGCACGTCCCGACGTCCAGGAAACGACCACCAGACTTCAGAATGTCAAGCAATCGAATATATAGGTCTCCTCTATCGGCCAGGTTAAGTTCCAGGAAGCGAAACTGTCCAAGGCAGGGATATGGATGGATCTCCCATGCACGATTTCTCTGGGCCTTGTCAACATCGTCATAGACCATCTGGTAGAGGACAGGCTCACCAACGCAACCACATGGTTGTCTACTTTGTCTTCTGGGATATGACTATAGTTGATGAGCAGGTCGCGGAATGAGTCTGGTACGCTGACGGTCTCGTCAAACCACTGTTTTGCCTTCTCGGCTGGCGCTCGAGGCGGACCTGTTTGAACAGCAGCCATGGTTATAGATCAATTCCTGCGATGTTGCTTGAGTCTCTGCCAACGAGTCCCTAATAGTGAGAATTGTTTTATACTTTAGTCCTGATGCTTTGACCGCTGGGAGTGAGGGGTAGATACGCCATACTAAGCGCTCTCTGAATATCATGATAAGCCCCACCAATGCCATGGATGATGCAATTGAAGGCGTGAATGTCGACCCTGTATCATCGAGGTACTCAAAGACGCGTGCTCGGTCAAAGAACGAAGGGTCTTGGGACTTTACGGGCAGCTATAGCATTGGCATATTCCTTCTTCTCGATGAGGCCCTCGTTTCTCTCTTCGCCCTTCGTTTGCTCGTCTTCCCCAATTTGACAACCCTGTTCTCTGATGCACTCTTAGCCGGCGAACCTGGCCCGTATGCTGTTGTGATAAGTTTCAAGACTGTCCGGATGTTGCGTTCCAGGAGCAAATGTGAGAGTCGATCAAGGTAGTCACGGCAGTAAACTCCTGTGCTTGGCAACATAGCTTCTGCGTTGACCACAATATAGACCATGTTGAGATTCTGAAGAATACTTGCCAGGATATTTAGGTAGTCATTTTCTGTTCGAGCGTCATTAAACCTGTTGAGCCGGAACGACATTCTGTTTTCGAAACGAGACGAATAGTCGCTAGCAAGAATTTGTCGAACAAGGCTTTTTAGCACCTCGAGAAGCGGGTAGGTTTGTCCTCTCGCGGCGAGTACCCATAGAAGCAAAATATTCCTTCTCAAAAAGTGCTCGATCGCAGCGACGCAAAGGCTTCTGACTTGCAACCTGTCTCTGAATGTGGATTTGAGCAGAATGTTAGATGAGACCGTGGATTTATTCCAATCTTGAAGGCTTGATGATGACCAAAGAGACGCTTCACTATTTTGAGGACCCCTTAGCCAATGGCCCCTTTGCCATCGCACACTTGCTTGGAAAACTAATTCATGATCAATGCTGCACTGAGATGTGATTATGGCTAAAGCCTGGCCCAGCTGAACATTGTAAACGGCTGAGTGTACTTGGAGCTATGAGGCTGTATCCGCCGCTGGCGGGCCCGTTAAGCTTTGTTGAAGCTGTGTCACTAAATCTATCAATTGAGCCATTATATCACGAAGTTTCTTTGATTAGCATCGTTTTGGATAGTAAGTTTGTTGAACTGATCACTCAATTCACGAATTGCGGTGTGCATGTCTCTGAGCGATCGCCTGTTTCCTTTCGTGGATCGCCTACAAAATATCATCGTACCGTAAAGCAGATGGTTTTGTAATAGCGTGTATCGCACGACTAAGTTTACTTTCGGAGAAGTATTCCCATGCTCGAACAAGAAACCGGATAATGTACGCATAGAGCATGCTAACCTCCCGTTGCATTCCCAAGATTGGGTAGATGATGATTGCTGGTTCGACTCTAGGATGGGAATCTGCGATATCTGAGAGTGCGGATATTATCGTCATCCCAGTCTTTTCGTGCTCAATGACTGCCTAATTTGCCAGTCAACATACAGGTCGACTTAACGTTACCTGGACTTGAATGCTTACACCAAAGAGCAACTTCATAGCTCCCCAAAGCAGAGAAACATTCTGGATGATGCTGTGCCAACACGTCTATAACATTTCCATAGTACAGCAGTCTTTTCGAAAAGGAAACGAGATAGTCGCGAGTCTTAGATCCCTTTCGTGTCATTTCATAATAAGAACTCGCGTCGACAACGACTTGAAGAACATCATCGATCGTGTATGCATGGAGCTGGTTTGCAAGCTCTTTCTAATTAGAATCATTGGTCAATCTTCAAGATTTTGAGGCCATCGTGGAATGCTGCTTGAGCCACATTGAGATCGCTGTAATGAAATGCGACTTTTAGCACACCCTCATGTTATTGCAGTCCTTTGAATATTCCCCTACCTAGATTTACTGGAGTCCTGAGAATACCACATGAGCAGCTTAGGCTCAAGATTCCGTCTGGAACCATTGGTTCAAAGGTATTCAAACCTTGGGACAAAGGTCCTAAGCAAGAGTAGGTAAATTTCACTGCTGTACAGTTACTAGCTCGTTCACGTATGAGGAGGCTCCGGCGAACTTTCCCGTCACTGGTACTGAGGGAGGAAATCAATGCTGGTGTGGTGACTTCGTGAGCCATGAGATGGCCTCATCCGCAGCCGAGTGTAACAAGGCATGCAGCGGGGCCGGGGGTGAGATCTGTGGACGTACAAACCGTCTGAACGTGTTAGAGGCTGTGACTGCGAAGCCAACGACAACGTCCACCTCCATCACCAGGTCGTCGACTTCCACCACGACGACACCAGCATCATCTTTCCCTGTCCAATGGCGAATGCTTGGTTGTCATGTGGATTCTGTGAATCCTCGCACAATATAGGACTTTCTCGAGGTTCCAGGGAGATGACAAAGATGACCGTCGAGAGTTGCCAATCTACTTGCTATGCGGCCGGGGACACTTATGCCGGTGTGGAATTCGGAAAGGAGTGCTGGTGCGGCAAGGCTCTACAGGGGCCATCCGTCAACCCACCAATAGCAGCAACGGGATGCTCAGTAGCTTGCACGGGTAATAATAATCTGCCTAGCCAGTGTCTCTTCTTCTAGCTTGCTGGGCACCTTGGGTCAGCTCGGGTCACCTTCAGTCACTGTTGGCAAATTAGTCTAAGTATATCTTATGTTTAGCTTAGTTACTACACTACCTATATTCAAGTTACGTGTTAGATTAGCTTCGGCCTAGATTATCCTATCATATAGATTTTCAGCTTATATAAACAAATATACCGTTTTTCTGATGCGCGATCTCACTCTCACGGCACTTACACAGACCCCGCATGTAAATGCTAGTTGTCCGTGAGAACGCCCCAAACGCTTGGATGGACGGCTTTCATTGGCGCTGGCGGCTATCGAAATCACCCCGCCACCAAATCGGGTAGAGTTGGAGAAGCTTAAAAAATTTGTCGGGAACAGACAAAACCTCACGCAAGGGCCCATTGACTACGTATATCACGGGGTATCTCTTAGACACATCGCCTCAGACGATCTCTAAGCGATCAATTGAACAACTATACACGTCTAGAGCGATTATTCAACAAGATGGCGGCTCAAACATCCGCTGCGAGTGGCGGCAGCTCGCCGTTCGACAGCTACCAGACATCCCTCACGACCCGCTACTGCAGTCCCGCCATGTCCAAGCTCTTCAGCCAGCGCTCACGACACTCAACCTGGCGCAAGCTGTGGCTCGGCCTCGCTGAGAGCGAGAAGGAACTCGGGATCGACACCATCACGGACGAGGCCCTCGGGCAGATGAGGGCTCATCTCGAGGTCACCGATGAGGATTTCGAGGTGGCCCGCGTGGAGGAGAAGCGCCGCAGACATGTATGTGTCGGGATACATACATCCACCCATTCGTCCGAAACTCATGATTTGCTGACAAGCCACTTTACAGGATGTCATGGCTGTAAGTATTACACCGTTGGCCATTCATCAGTCTCAGATTGAGTATCTTGACTGATACACCGGAATAGCACGTTCATGCTTTCGGTGTTGTTGCCCCTGCAGCCGCCGGCATCATGCACTACGGTAGGCCAACCTGCGCCTCATCTCATCACCCATGCTAAGCTTATTATCATGTGTAATCAGGCGCAACAAGCTGCTATGTGACTGACAATGCCGAGCTGCTTCTCATGCGTGATGCTCTCGACTTGTTGGCCAAGAAGCTGGCCAAGGTCATCTCCAACTTGTCCTCCTTTGCCCTCAAGTGGAAGGGTGTGTCTTCCCCCCTTTCGACTCCAAACCGCTCTTCCTAACCGCTATCTAGATGAGCCCACTCTGGCCTACACTCACTTGCAAGCTGCACAGTTGATCACAGTGGGCAAGCGCGCTGCTCAATGGGCACAGGACCTCATGCTTGATCTCCAGAGCATCGAGCATGTCCGCAATGAGCTCAAGTTCCGTGGCGCCCAGGGAACCACTGGCACCCAGGCCTCTTTCCTGGAGATCTTCCACGGTGACTCTGCCAAGTGCGACAAGCTGAACGATCTGCTCTGCGAGAAGTTCGGCTTCCCTGCTTGCTACGATGTGTCTACCCAAACCTACACCCGCAAGGTCGACCTGATCATTGCCAATGCCGTTGCTGGCCTTGGCTCGTCGGCACAGAAGATCACGGGAGATATTCGCCACCTGGCTCACTGGAAGGAGATTGAAGAGCCTTTTGAGAGCACACAGATTGGATCTTCGGCCATGGTTAGTTCCCCTCATTCACTGCTCCTCCGTTCTTCATAAGTATATTGATCGCTGCCACTCCAAATCACTATTTCACAAATCCTCGCACCCTACATGTGGGATATTGCTGACAGATGAATCAAACAGGCATATAAAAGAAACCCAGTATGTTATGTTGAGAAAACACCATCATAAGTATCTGCGATTTATCATTGCACCCTTCTGACCTGTGTAGATGCGTTCCGAGCGCGTGTACTCTCTTGCTCGGGAGCTCCTAAGCAAACCCACCACATTCCAAGCGACACATGCCGATCAATGGAGTTAGTCCCCTATGCTATTCACCTCGATTTCAATCACTAACTGTCAACCAGTGGAGAGGACACTAGATGACTCGGCCGTCCGCCGCATCGACATCCCAGAGACGATGCTGCTCGCTGATGCCATCCTGATCGGCCTCGACAACATCACCGACGGCCTCGTCGTCTACCCCAAGCGCATCGCAGCGCACGTCCAATCGGAGCTGCCTTTCATGATTACCGAGACCATCATCATGCGCCTGGTTGCGAAGGGCGAGTCGCGACAGGAGGCCCACGAGCAGATCCGTGTCCTCTCGCACGAGGCCGGCAGCGTCGTGAAAAACGAGGGCAAGCCTAATGATCTGGTGGATCGGATCAGGAAGAACGAGTTCTTCAAGCCGATCTTAGGCGAGCTTGATGGCATGCTGAAGGCGGAGCTGTAAGACACCTGCCTCCTTAACCCAGCGATGAACACTCAAAGAGCGCCGTGACTGACACATTTAATTAGGTATACTGGCCGTAGCGCCGAGATTGTGGACAAGTATTGCGGTCCCGGGGGTCCTGTCGAGAAGGCTTTGGCACCATATGCGGATTACATCAAGGGCGCCACTACTGCAGAGCTTAATGTCTAAGTGGAAACGTGTTGCACAAAAATCCCTGGACTCGCTTAAGACGCCGGTGGCATCTTAAGTGCCTCGTTTCACTTTTGTGACGCGACTACTCGCTTTGTTAGCTCTTTGGAAGCTCATAGACTACCCATTAAATAAAATTGGAATAGGGATGAAGGTGTCGATTCCTCACTACTGTCAGTCTTTGGTTGCGGGAAACCCCGGCGGGAATCATGGAAAATGATATCACGTTTTGTAGCAATGAAAGTCATCATTAAACTCCTGGACATGCATGAAATTCCATCGCCTGTAGGTAGGCATCAATGTGAGGCGTGGACTTGAGAGAAAAGACACTAGTGCTTAAGTATCTATCCAAAAGCTTCCCATTTCTTATCTCCAGCCGATGCTTATCACTAAACGATGCTCGAAGCCATATTTGAGGTTAAAAGCACATCAACAACGGGGCCGTCTTATTCCCCTTTCAACATTGAAAACGAGGACCGATTGAGCCACCAAAGAACCAGCAAGCACCAAAAAACATTCGAAAATGGGGAGCATACCAGAAAGGCCCCCCATATCTCTTAGCGACTAACTCCATATCTCTTGCTGACTGATTCGAGTTCATCGGCTAATCGTCCTTAGTATCGGTCCATCAGCGCTGTACAGTCGCTACGTACACGAGCAGGCAGATTAAAGCTCTTCACATGGTAGGTCAAGATTTATCGATATATTCCCATTCCCTTGATCCGTGCCGTTTCGTCAGCCATATTTTGTACTTAATGTGCTTCGAGAGTCAAGTGTTCGACTAGCTGAGGAGGCGGTTTCACGGACCCAATGGATGGCATGCTTTACGGGGCCGCATCCGGCTTGCCCAGTTGATATTATCGGATATTCAGCCACAGTGACGAGATTGCCACCTTGCAGCACCTTTGTTTGCCTTACATAAATGCTACTAAGAGGAGATTTCAGCACGTACGACCATACCCAGCAGAAAATTCGGCATCCCGTCCGCTCTGCCCGAGACAAGCTGCTGAGGGCTGAACTAGTAGTTGGGTCGGTGACGACCAGCGAATCCTCGGTGTTGTACGTATTATTTTGATTTTTATTTTTTGTTTTCTTTTATCCTTTTGGTTGTTTCATTCGCGATCGTGTATGCTTACATATCCTTCAAGTATTTACTGATCGTTGACAGGGACGGATTTCGATGTCATCACATAGGCAAGGCTTGGCAAACCACTTATTAAACGTCACTTGAAAACCCAGCACCGTCAGATTCACGAGTGGAGAACAAACATCAATCACTAAATCTTGCATTGCATCTGAGATGGTTGGACATAACTATGTCTATGGAGCTGGCACTCCAGGTATTATAGGAGCCAAGCGTTGGTCACCAGCACAGCTAGTCATTGTTGTTGCTTGCGTTGCGTGCTTGGATTTCAATCTCCCAACCAGTTAGCCCAAGACTTCTGCACTAAAGTGCACCGTACATATGACCTGAATTGCTCTCATGTCAACGGCAGTGAGATTCTGATCTAGCCTATAGTTCTAGGCTTAGCTGCGGCTGTTGACTTGAACATCCCATCTCTTTTTGACTTTGATTCCCGTCGTAGATTCCCTATTTTCGGATGTGAGGTTTTTCTCGGAACCAGAATCATCTGCACTGCCCTCGGGGCGACTGTCAAGTTCAATATGGCAGTCAAACCCATTCCCTTTCTGCACCAGATCCATGTCGTCCATCTCCAGGGCACCGACAGGCTTGGACCTTGACCCTGAGCCGGAACCCATCTTCAGCCCATTTGTGTTGTGCGAGCCCTTAACATTGCTTTCAAACTGACCAGATGGTTCGCTTAGCTTGGCCGACGAGGATTGGGCTTTGTAGCGGACATAGAACGGACGGAGCATCGGCAGGCATGCGCACAACATGGCGAGAAGGGGCTCGAGTGCGGATAGGAAGACGGACATCGGCATCGTCCCGGTCAGGTCCGACACCATGTCGACCGCTGTGACATAGACCAGTCGGAAGATGGCTGCTATGACACACCTATTCCAAGGGTTAGTTATACCACTTTCTAACTTGACTAGGTAAACTTACGCAACGCCAATTAGAAAACAGGCCATGATACCAAGCTTATCCCAGACTCGCATTTGAAGGTGCCATATTGCTGGAGATCTATATCAGCGCATTTTCTTCCACGACAACAAGCCCAGGGATGACTGCTTACTGTATAGCGGGAGTATAATGATTATCAAATCTGTGACAATGTTGGTCGAGATGATTGACTGGAATAGTTTGATCTGGTTGCCGCATGTGCCCGTGACGGAGAGGTCCCATTGGGCTTGGACAGGCCTGCAGATGAAGATCACGGCAAAGAAGTGCGCAACACCCCAAAGCATGACTATGCCGAATGTGGCTCGACAGGGCTTCACCATGAAGTGATCTGTGAAGATGCGAAGATAGAAGCAGAGGATACTGCACTTGATGAGCGTAAGCGCCACAAGATATAATAGCTGAAAGGCGGTAGTCAACTGGAGAGTACCAAGGTTAGACGTGATCTTGCACACAGATAAACCTAAAGGGGATAGAAAGACTAGTCTCACGCGAAGAATCAACGGCACATCGACCATGACCTCCGTGATATGGTGGCCGGCACCTAGTGACGAAACTAATGGAAACGCATTGTAAGTTCTGCCGAGTAGTGAATTAAGTTTTGGGGGCTTGGTGAGACTCACAAACACCTTGTATAAACAGAAGACTAAGCCCAAATGGCTTCCACGATGGTTAGTGATGCCAAAATCTCTCATGATAGAAGTGGTAGCTCACCAGAGCTGCAAGGATAAGTCCGTCATCCCACCACAGACCGACGCCAAAGATTGTCCGCGCCGTGATGCGGCCTGCCAAAGCAACGAGCAGGAAGAATGTCACAACGCAGTTGACAATAAGATGGGCCCGTACATCTCCGTGGGTCGGGAAGACGACATATTGAATTGGTAAAGCCTCCATCTTCCTGAGAGCTTGTGTTCTTATGTGGTCAAGACTCGCGACAAGTAATGCCAGGTATCTATGACAAGCAGCAAAAGAGCTTCAAGTCTTTGAATATAACAGCGAGGAGTAATGAAAGCCTGAAAAATCTTCGACCCATTTAGGGTATCTATAGCAATAGTTGCTGGTTGTAGGCAAATGTGTAGACCTCGTTATGGAGAGTAGACCTGAGCCCAGGTTCTGCAACCCCCTGAGGCCCCTTGAACTGATCGTCGGGCAGAAGTTCCTTTTTCCCCAGGGTGTTGCTCCCGAGGTTCTTCAGCTGGTCACGAAATACGAGCGGGGCGTTGCTTTTCGGAAAGACATATCAAATATCTGTTCCCACTGAACCTGGTTACTGGTTTTAGTCGTCACGAAATATCACTTTATCTGACTCGTTGCGAGCAAAGTTTCTTTTTGTGGTGATGAACGAGGTCCTTGTGCCGTCGGAGGCTTGGTTGCTGCCGGAAGCCGATGCTTTTCGTTTGCTATCATTTGTAACTGGTCACAGTGTGGAATTTGCTTGGTGCCTGAAGGAAGTCGACCAGGGTATCCAAGTCGAGTTCCAAATTTCCATACCTTGAGTATCATTGATGTCCTTGTAGCCGCATAGGCGAAAGTTCTCAGTGCTTGGTTCGCACGGCGCTGATGTGCAAGCCCAGCCACAAATGATTTCGTTGTATTCCATACTTAATAATCTTCTCACAAAGCTCGCCATGAATGATGATAAAGATACAGGCTTTTCCGACTTATCACACGCAGAGTTCAGCTGACAAAATTTCTGACATGTAACCTCCATTTTTGTGCCGTATCAGCTATCGTTGAAGATTATGGTTACTTCGTTTGGTTTTGCATTGCTTTTGGCACGACTATCAAGACCGCGCCAACGCCATGGATGCGGGTACTGCAGGAAAGCCTCGCCGTTGGACGCCATGCCGATCTCTAACCCTTTTTTCTGGTGCTATGCGCACCTGTGAAACGCAACTACCGCTTCCCCGGCGGGGAGATGGTCCAGACTCAGGTATTGGGTCCTGGGAGCTCCTCCTGCATCTTCGCTAAAGCTAGGCAAAAACGGTGTTGCATGGGTGATGGAATTAGTGGCTTGATATTCATTGACTGTTATTTCTACAGCAAGTCTATCACTGCGACCTGCCGGGCCTGCATGCACGGATACACCCAAGAATCTAGTCGCATCAAACCCCTTGCAATGAGATGACCTTTAGGACCAGTAGGCGTGAGTCGTTAGTAATTCCAGGGACCGGGCTCTCTACTCTCTTTTCCTTCCCTACTCCCCGCTGTGATTGTGATCTCAACTTGCAAGTGCTCGTCGTTTATTAACCAGCTTTACGCATGAGCTCTGCAGGACTTGCCATAGCAGTCTCCTTCGCACTTGGATACGATGGAGTCGCCACTCGGCATAGATCTCCATAATGGAGTAGTGACCCTGTCAAACATCTACCGTTTGGCTGGATTGTGGCTCTCTTATCGCCTTTCGCGTGCATTGTACAACATTTCGCCGCTGCATCCGTTGAGCCGTTTTCCTGGCCCAAAGTTGGCAGCTATTACAATACTCTATGAGTTTTGGTTCGACATGATCCTGGGTGGAAGGTATACAATGGAAATTAAGAGGATGCATGAAATATATGGTAAGTGAGCTCGAGCAGTCTCATCAAAGCATTGTAGCATGTCTCACATGCTCCTGCGAAAGGTCCCATTGTTCGAATTAGTCCAGATGAACTACATTGCAACGACGTTTCTTTCGTGGACGAGGTGTATGCTGGAGCTGGGCGCAAACGAAACAAGCAGGAACACTTTTTGAAGTCACTCGCAGGGCCTACTACTATATCTGCATTTGGTACGGTTGACCACGACCTTCACCGCATTAGGCGTAATGCGATGAACAAGTTCTTTTCGCGTACGCAAATCTCGAGGCTAGAGCCAGAGATGAGACAGCTTGTGGACCAGCTTTGTGACAAGTTGATACGTGCGTTCTGCTCATTCCCTACAGGAACGGACGACTGACGACCCATTGGCAATTTAGGAAATCCAACTAAAGGTCCAATCAACGTCACCACTGCCTACAGTTGTTTCACTACAGACATGATATCAGCGTATTGTTTTGGCGAGCCCTTGGGCTTTTTAGCCCAGCCAGTATGGGAGCCAAATTTCCGTGAGGCAATGACAGCTTTCCTCAACACCACGTTCCTTTTCCGTTACTTTCCCATGCTTCGACATACTATTAGCATTGCGCCGATGCTCTCTAAGTACATGGGTGACGACATCAGGATTCTTATGAATGAGATGTATGTCAATATGCCAGCACGGATCACCAAGGCAAAGGAAGACTTCGCCTCAGGAGTGGTCCAGAAGCGCCAGACAGTATTCACAGACATTCTCGACTCATCTCTTCCCGAGTCAGAGAAGACCGTGTTTCGTCTATCTGGGGAAGGATTTTCGTTGACAGGTGCTGGAACTGAAACCACATCAGTAAGTTTTGACCTATTTGAAACATGCATAACAACGGCCATACCGCCTCATCTCACGCTGTTCGCGTAAATATGACTTACAATGAATGCAGTGGACTTTATCGGTGATCACTTTCTATCTTCTCTCGGAGCCAACCATCCTCTCACGCCTTACGCAAGAGCTGAATTCGACTGACCCAGCAAATCTCTCGTCATGGTCCACCCTTGAAAAGTTGCCATATCTCTATGGTGTCGTCATGGAAGGCTTGCGGTTGTCATATGGTGAAACAGCACGCAGCCCTCGGGTGCCGCGTGACGAGGACCTGACGTACAGGAGCGAGTGTGGTGGGAAGAAATATGAATATATTATTCCCAGAGGCACAGCGGTTGGCGCGTCATCTGTTCTCATGCATCACAATCAGGACATCTTCCCACAATCAGAATCATTCATGCCTGAGCGGTGGGTCGATGAAAATGGGCAGCGGAGACGAGAATTGGAGAGAGGCATGATGTCATTTTCGAGAGGAAGCCGACAGTGTTTGGGGATGAAGTAAGTCGGACCGGTCTTGTTGCTCCGAATGGCGGTTCCACTGTGCTTACATGTAATAGTCTGGCATACTGCGAGATATATCTGGCAACTGCAGCGTTGACACTGCGCGTATTCCCGCAGATGAGGCTCTTCGAGACAACGGTCGATGATATCAAATACGACCATGACTTAGTAGTTGCCCAAGCGAAGAAAGGAAGTAAGGGTGTTAGGGTTGTCATGCCGAGATAATTGCACGCAGACTTATCTCTCTTATCCTCTGCGCGTCTGGCAATGCGGAGCCCGCGATATGATTCGGGGTGCTTACTCCCGTACATGTCACTTAAGGCTGGGAATGAAACCCCCCTCGAAGGAAACTAAGTCCTAACCATTCCCATGGTCACCTCAGGATCATCGTAGTAGAAACAACGACGCACATAAGGCCTATTCTGAAAATTTCATGGTTGCGTGATGCCAGGAAGATGACAAACTTTAAACCCATCTTCGTATGATTGACTACTCTAGGAGCGACAGTCGGCGAGTCTCGCCAAGAAAGCTTGGACTAAAAGACTTTGGACGAGGTATCAGGAAATTTTGTTGTGAGCGACTTGTCACGTATTCTCTCCACGATCTGCCAGTAACGATCGCATGGAACTATTCATGAGATCATCTTGGTTCTTGCTTATGCCATAAGATAATGGAACTGCATAGCTTGATATGTGATTCTGCTCGAGCTCATGTACTCTAGCCTAGAGCCCACACGGATTTCAATTGTATAATTACCTATGCCTGTTACTTGGTCGTTGGCTCGGGCCCTCGAGTAGAATAGGTAATTACTGTACAAAACTGTGTTCATCGATACTCTCCTCCACAATCACCCATATTCTGGAACACCTCATCTCTCTTTCCCCTTCTTAAAATGCCATCAATCATGTGTTGGTCCTCTTCATCTAGCCTCCAGCCAAAGCTTCCCAAATTGTCGTTGGTGTGCTCGCTGATCCCCATTCTGGTCCCTACAATGACTGCCCCAACATATGGGAAATCAAGCACCCATCTCGTAGCAACGTTGCAAACTTTGACATTGTGCTTATCACCGATTTTCTTCAGTACGCACAGGAGCTCTTGGAAGAGCGACCATGGACCCCAGGTGCGGATCATGGCATGATACTAAAATATAGAAAAAGATTAAACTCCGTCAAGAGCAAGGATCAAGTAATCGAGTTATAACACACCTTTCGCTGACTGGGTGTGATCTTATCGTCGAAAAGACCCGGTTCGTCCTTTCCAATCCATCTATCTGCAAGGAAACCGCCGCACTAGAGACATAAGGTGCTCAGCATGCAGTCGCTCATGCGAACTGACAGGAAAACTCACCAGAGTACCGTAGGTTAGGAGCTTGATTTTATGTTCAAGACAGACTGGGCCCATTTTGACAGTTGGTCGAGAGTCGATCAAAGAAAACTACTCCTTATTAGATCAGGTACAATGGACAAGACCGACATACGAAGGCTTGCCTGAACTTGGTTGGAATGGACTTGAACTCCACTCTTGACGACCCGTTCCATGTGCTCAGTATCAAAGTTGCAGAGACCAAGCGCCCCAACTCGTTCGTCTTCCGATAAATATGCGAGTGCATCTAAGTATGCGGGATCCTCATACTTCCGCCTTGTCAGCTTCATATTTCGTCGCGTAGTGCAAAGTAACTAACAAATTGCCAATGGAATTGCAACAAATCAATCTTGACAGTCTGTAGCCTCTGGCACCTTTCAGTCACGTTGGCTCGGACGACGTCGCGTGAAACGGTGATCGGATGAAAGACGCAATATTTGGTTGCCGCGAATAAAGCACTCTTCTGAGGATATGACTTCGCGAATTGACCCTACAAAGAAATGAATTAGTAGCTGCGACTGGGACTCTTGACAGTGATATGAAAAGACAAGACAAGGGAGAACATACGAAAATAATTTCTGCATCCCCGTAATGATCTGCCATATCGAACGCGACAAAACCACTCTGGACGGAGCTGGAAAAATGAGAGAAGATCTTCCCCGCGGAGGCGGATCCCCAAGCAGGACTGGATAACTGCCAGAGGCCGGTAAATATCCTTGGCAGTCTTCGGCCTGCCATCTCGAAACATTCATTTGCTTCTGCCGGGGTCTGGCCTCCAAAATCTCCGGCCTCAGCCATAAGCTCTTCGGATGCTCCGTCACATTTGTCAATCTCTAGCAAGCTTCCCGCCGACCAGAATGCTCGAGCGAACGGGAACTCGATCTTGTTCGTCTGGCAAACACGCCGAGAGTCAGCGAGTTGCTCGTAGAGCCCTTGAACGATTCCTCGTTCATTGTTTGCTAAGACTTGCGTCCCTTTCAGAGTCTTCTGCACGGCGGTCATGGCTTGGACAATGTCCCCGTCAATCGAGGCCTGGAATGACGACGCCTCGTCCGAGGCCGCAGCATCACTCCCAAGCGCCATGTCGACAGCCCGAGCAGCTATATCTCCTAGTAGCGGGATGCTCTGGAAGCACAATCCGCAGCCTAGCATGCAGCGAATAGTCTTCTGGGTGGCTTGAAGGCCTGCCAAGTCCACGGGCGTCTCCGGACTTCGGGATGTGACGGCCGGCAGAACACACTCTTGGATGTAGCTCTGGGTCGCTGTCTCAAATGTCTCGGTGACGGACGCGTGAGCTGTCAGCAAAGCTCTCAAGACAATCCGAAAGCCCTCGAGGCTCAGGTTGCTGATGATGGTGTCTGTCATCATGTTGACATGGGCCACCTTGGCCCGCTGTGCACCTGGAACTGCCATGCTTGCTTGCTTGCTGGCTTGCTTGCTTGATCGCTTCGGTAAACACCCGACCTGACGTGCGCTGCTGAGGCGTGAGAAGGCGCGCTGGTTCACCGAGGTCCTGTCGAAGCAGATGCCGCGAGCAGGGAGAAAAGCCAACAGGCGGAGGCTTGCAATCCGGAGTTCATTGGGGCGACCCCCCACCGTCTGTGGTGTGGGCGTGGCATGGCAAGCGTGGAAAGCTTGCAAGTGGTCCCGTCCCGCTCGGATGATGAAGATGCTTGGCCCGCCCGCCCGGATGCACCATCCAATTGCACTAGGCCCAATGCGGCCGGCTGTCATCCCGGCGCGGCGGGTCGTGTTTTGAACGCCGGTTGTTTGGAACACCGGTCCTATCTCTCCATACCACCCCGACCAAAAGCGCATCCTCCGGCACCTTTTCACAGACAGGGCGTAAAAGACGGGGCAAACACCGGCGACCTAACAGAGTCCCGGCTTTCCCGACTTGCTGTGCACAGCTAGACGAGACGATCGGACGGACGCTCAGGGTCTGGAATCTGGAGTATGAAGAGCCGCCGAGATACGGAGAAGCCTGGTCAACCAAAGTGCGTCGCGACCCTGTTGAAGCTATCGTTTTGTCGCATCTCACCGTGGAAGAAGTAGTAACAGCAACGGCGGCGGCGGCGGCAGCAATGGCCATGGCAGTGGCAGTGGCAAGGCCTGCCTTGCCTGCAGAAAGGTCAAGATGAAATGCGTCATCAAACCGCACGAGACTAGCTGCGAGCGATGTGCCCGCAAGTCGCTAGGTTGCGTTGTCCAGGAGCATCGACGAGGGCGTAAACACGGAACCAGGTCTGTCATTGGCCATGCCACACATGTCAAAGCTCTGTCTGACGAGCCATGAAAGAATCCTCAAGAAGCGGCCAGCGCCTCCCCAGGATGATGCTCAGCCCCAAGACAGCAGCAATTGGCGCACCAATGCGTCGCAGTCCCCGGATGGAGGCGTGTCGAAGGATTTGCAGCCTCCCGGACTCCTGAATTCTGCAGCAACCCAAGGAAGGTTCTCGCTCGATAATATCCTTAACCCAGCGGTCAATGAAGGCTCTACAGGTCTGCACGACTCGACAGCGATATCCTCAGACGATCCAATCCGACTGGGATGCATCGACAGCGCCACTGCTGAGTCTTTATTCGAGAAGTGAGTCCCGCCACATCGTTACACGTTCCCGGGTACTTATTCATGCTGGTCCATAGATTTATGAGTGTCTTGAACCCGCTGATCAGCCAGCTTGATTCGGTTCTTCACACCATGGCATATGTCCGCCTGCACTCGGCATTTCTCTTCACCACAATGCTCGCCACCACCGCGAAAATGTTTTGTCCGTCGGTCCATCCCGCACTTCACCGCCATGCCGAAACACTGATGGCCAATTGCTTCATGCGAGGCGAGAAGTCCCCCGAGATTGCCCAAGCGATGATGATCATGACCTATTGGAAGGAACCTGACGATACTCGGGCATGGCTGCTCATAGGCTATGTGATTCGTATGGGAATGGATCTAGGCTGGCATCTGTGCGCACACCGGCCCATCCAGGACGGCGTTGCAAGAGACGGCCAAAAGCAAAGAGAGTTGCGTAACATCCAAAGGACCTGGTACGTTTTGTTTGTCTACGACCGCAGGTAAGTCCCCCACTAGCTCCATGCTGTTTCCAGCCTATCTGACCAACACACAGTCTGAACCTTCAGACAGGGAAGCCTTGGATGATTGAACCCAACGGCTTCATTCAATCGATTGAGACGTGGTGCGAAGACCCAATGGTTTCGGCCAATGATCAGCTCCTTGGCGCATTTGTGACCATTCGCCTGCTTGGCTCCGAAGTCTTTCAATTGGTTCGGTCAAATTTGAAGAAGGCAAAGTCTGCCTTGTGGGACGGCATCGAGCCACTCCTTCTAGTTCTCGAATCCCAGCTGGAGACTTGGGAGCATCGATGGACACCAAGAGTCGCAGGGGGTAAGCGCAATTCAAGATCACACATTCTGCTATCATCTTCTATCTTCTGACGCATCCCCATAGATGAGCGTCACACGTTCATGATCAAGTTCTACGTCATGCATCTCCGCCTTCAGCTGTATTCTCTACCCCTCCAAGGAGTCCTGGCCTCTAATGACCCGAGCTTGTCAGCAAATTTGGGCATCTTGTGGACTAGCTACTCGAGTGCTTTGGAAATGCTCGAGCTCATCTGTAAATCTTCGGAATTCCTCTGCTATGTTCAGGACTCCGTACACGTCATGACCGCGTATAGTGCAGCTTTCCTGATCCAGGTTAGTGCCCACTCCTTTCCTGATGTTTGCTAAATGGCGCTTTTGGGGACTAACATACATGTCAGTTCCTGTTATCTGCACCCCAAAGCATTACTGTACAGATCGAGCCCAAGGTGGTTCAGACCATCCGGGCCACGTCTCTGGTGTTTGCACAACAAATGGCAACCGCTACGAGTAGTTGTGCGCTGCAGGCACGATTCCTGGAACGAATGCTTTCCAACTTTGCTCAAACAAGGACTGGGAATGGTCTCGTGGGCGCAATGAACACAACTGCGAATACCCTTGACCGAGGGGGGGTGGATATCTCTAATACTGGAGGATACGCTTCACACTCTGGGCCTTTATACAGCGACTTGATGGCATTAGATCAGAATTCTGGGCACACAGCGCCAGTCGGGTTGCTCTTGGAACAAAACGAAACTTGGGACCAAATGTTTGCGTATGCTGGATTTGATTTTGAAGAAGGTATTTTCTTTGCTTAGCGAGCAATCTTGAGCGGGGAACAGGCGTTTGGTCAAGGATCATGGGGAAGCATATAGAAGGGCATTGTAGCCACTGACTGATACATGAGACTAAGATACTAAATGTGAACTTCAAAGTCGTATTGTTCGGCATTTGCTCCTCAGATAGATAGTATTGACCAGTCTCGCTGGAGTGAATGGACTTGGCCTGACTTGAGTTAGGGCTTACCCGATGACTGTTATACTCCCCGACTTTGGTATAGAAGAAACCCTCCCCTTCCCGCCCCTCCCCCCTTTTGTTTTTTACCCGTATTCATTTGCTTTGGGTATGGAGAGATACTGCAGTAGTCTCTGAGTGACTGAATATTCTTAGGCCCTCTCTTATGATCTTCAGCTGAGAAGGGCAATTTGGGTCTGGGCAAGCAACACACGCGTCGGTGGTCATCCAGTCATTGTCTGCCGTAAGCCGCTGTTTCGCGGCCAGGAGAGGCAGCACCGATGCTGTCACGCCGTCGCGGGTCAGCATGCGGATGTACACAACGAGGGCCCGGGACAAAACAACGTACCTAGGCTGTAGATGCTGAAGCCCTGATTCGGTGGCAGATAGAGCATCTCGCCCCGCAGAACGAAGTGATCACCAGGCTTCGCGCCGCACAGGATCCGCTTGCCCTCCGGACAAATGACCTCGACACGGAGGTCGTAGAGCTGAAATTTGTCATCCGATGCCATTGACTGCGACATGCGTGTGGATACAATCTGCTGCCTTTCTTGGCCTTCCTCGCGGCAAGGGGTCTAGGCCATCATCTTAAGTCGCCACGTGGGATTCCCGGGGACTGGGTTCCGGCGTTCAAGCACTGGGTCGCGAGATAAGCATCTGAGTCGCCGGCGATAGGATCTGGCATTGACCTCCAGCTAATCCATGCAGGTGCGGAAAGTACCTAGCTGTGACTTCTGATTAGCCAACGTTATCTCTGCTTCAGAAGGGAGGAGATAAGCGCAACTAACGCTACTGTAGCACCGATCCACCGGAGCATCAGCTATAGTTGCCAATTTCCCACAGACTCACGACGTCCGAGTATCCGCGCGCGCGGAAATTGAGCAGTAGCTCTGTTATCAAGTGGCTTGTTAGGAGCATCTAAGCGTTAGCAATAGGGCTGATTGAGGATGCCTTGACGTACAACCATGCGAGGCAAGAAGATAATGGCGCTCAGTCATTTCATTTATCCCACCCCGTAGTTAATGGGCATAAGACTGGGACAAGTTGGTTCGTGAAGAGCATCGGAAAAGCCATCACTGTCTATCTCCTATACTTCGTTTGCTAGTTGGCTCGCTCTGGTAGTCACGACGTCTATTACTTGATCTATCGCGGGAATTCTGCAGCCCCATGAGCGTCTCGATAAGTGGCCAAATTGCCACTAACCCCATCTACCATCCTCCCTAAATCTATCGGGATTTCCTTCACCATGCTCGGCGTCTCAGTGCATTACAGCCTTCATATACGGACCCTCGGCTGCAGGTACTCAGACATGAACCTGGAAGGCTGGAAGGGAAATCAACTGAAGCGTAGACCCTGCAGAACCCGAAATAAGACTATAGGGATGAATTGATTACGGAAGTGTAGGAAGTTGTGCACAAGTTTTACTTCTAGGGTATCTATCTACCTACACTATTTCGATTGGGTACACCTTGGCTCTTGGGCACATCAATGCTATTTCGATAGTAGCCTTACACAGTCAAAGCCTTTATACTAGTTACAAAGCTACACAGCTAAAGACCAGACCAATATCTTGTGCATGAAAGTTCGAAGGTCCTCTTGAGTACGTTTTCCGGCGAAGTGAGCACGCGAACCTCGTATACGCCACTCTGGCTTTGCCATTGGTCACGTCTCTCGTTCCACCAGCTGGTCGCTAATCTCGTTGAGATGCTGACGCTGACATTCTCTGAGCGACCGGGGGGGAGATGGATCTTGGTAAAGCCCTTGAGCTCTCTGACTGGGCGGCCGACACCTCCGGCTTGAATAGTCTCCGGCGCGGGTGCAATAAAGACCTGTACCACCGTGGATCCTGCAAGACTGCCGGTGTTGGCAACATTCAATTGAATGCGGACTTGTTCATCTTCGCCCAGCTGCGGCTTTTCCTCAGAGACGGTGACCTCCAGCGCAGTGCCTAGGAAGGTAGTGTATGAAAGACCATAACCGAACGGGAACAGGGTGTCCAAGCCCAATTTCTCGTAGTAACGGTATCCAACGTACACATCTTCACCGTACAAGACGCGTCCAGACTCAGATCCAAAGTTTAAGAATGATGGATTATCTTCGATTCGTCTTGGTTGAGTCCATGGCAGACGGCCTGACGGGTTTGTATCCCCGAATATCACGTCTGCTAAGCCATTCCCGCCCTCGCTGCCTGAGTACCAGCTTTGAATGACTGCGGCAGACTCATTAATCCAGGGCATGCTGACAGGAGTTCCGCTTTGGATGACTATGACGGTGTTCGGGTTGGCCGCGAGTACCGCCGAGACGAGTTCGTCCGTGTGCGGTGGTAGATCCATATTAGGTCTGTCGAATCCTTCAGATTCCCACTCTCCGTTGAGCCCTACGACCAAGATTGACTGCTCTACGGAGGCAGCCAGGGTTACGGCATCGGCTATGGCCTGAGACGTGTCGATTCGGAGACTGGCGCCGAATGAGAAGCCGCCTTTGCCGAAGGATACTACTTTCGGGTTGGTTACCTTGCTGAGGGGTGCGCTTCCGAAGCGAAACAATATCTTGTACTCTATGCCTGCCTCGAGCTGTTTGAATCCGCGCTCCTCCACGGTCCCCATCCCAAAAAAGGAGTTCCCGGCATGTTGAACCGTCTCGTTGTCCACTACAAGAACCCCATCAATGAAAAGCTGGCCTGTCCCCGCAACCGACACTCCAAAGTCGTATACGCCACTTTCTTCTGGTGTAAATATACCTTCTGCTTCTCCGTAAAAGGTTGTTGGGTGTAGCCCCGAAGGGGAATAGTCGAATAAGATAGCAGTTGAAGACGTCAGGTGTAGTTCGTCTATGACACCACGGCCGCTGACAGAAGGTGGGTCGTTGTACGCTCGAAAGATGAAGCCAGGCTTACCATCGGGAGTTCTCAACAGGGGCCCCAGCATTGGCATCTCCTTGAAAGAGAAGATGCCACGTGAGAACTGTACCTGGCCGCGGGCTCTGGACTTGATCCCCTCCAAAGGGCTGATGGAGTAATAACCGGGCAGCCAGGCCGACCCTCCGCCGCAAGTAAAGGCCGCTTTGGCGTTTGGTCCAATGACGGCAACAGCCTTTTCCGAGTCCAGGGGCAGGATTTGTCTTTCGTTTTTGAGAAGAACAATAGACTCGGACGCTGCACGTCGAAGGAGAGCACTGTTTTCGGGGAGGTTGATTTCTCGTTCCGGGGCTCGTTCGGGGATGCCAGAAGCAGCTGCTCTCTTGACCAATTTCAGGACATTCCGGACTCTGTCGTCTAGTACGGCTGGGGTGATCTTGTTGGCTGAAAAACATGCAGTGAGAGCCTGGTTGCGAAAGCGGGAGGGCCCGGGCATTTCCAAATCCAGCCCTGCCTCGATAGCCTCGGTCACACTGAAAGTGCCATTCCTGCCAACCTGTGTTAGACTCTCACGAGGCTAGGACAAGAGCAGGGAGCAGGCCCACCAGTCGCTGATGATTGTCCCGTCCCACTTCCAATCCTTTCGCAGGACTCCATCGATCAGAGCCTTGTTTTCGCTCACGTGCGTGCCCCCAACTTTGTTGTACGACGTCATGATTGCCTCTGCATCCGACAGCCTTAAAGCGATCTGGAAGGGCAAGAGGTAGATCTCCCTCAGGGCCCTATTAGTCACAATGACATCGACTGCTTTTCGCTCGTGCTCCTGGTCATTGCACACAAAGTGCTTGAGGGTGGGAATGATGTTTTCCTTCTGGATCCCCCGGCAGTAATGACCAGCTAAGTTTCCCGAAAGCACCGCATCCTCTGAGAAGGACTCGAAGCCTCGGCCACCGAGTGGTGACCTATGGATGTTGATAGTCGGACCGAGAAGGACATGGGCTCCCTTTGCCTTGGCCTCTCTGCCAAGAAGCTCACCCAGCTCTTCCATAAGCTTCACATCCCATGTTGCCCCCAATGCCGTGGCGCATGGCAAGCAAGAAGATGGTACGCCGTTGAAGAGCCGCGTACCACGAACTCCGTTTGGGCCATCAGACAGACGGATTGAGGGAACACCCAGCCTCGAAACAGGTGCAGTGTGCCAGAAATCGACGCCTAGGTACGAGGGAGTGAGTGGGAAGGCTCAAGCGAGGGTCAGGCTAGAAACACGCTACAACCTGCAGTTAAGGCGACTTTCTCTGGGATGCTGAGCTTCGCGAGCACACCCTCAATGTCGATATCTGCCATGGCGTGGGAGCTCTTGTACTCAGGATCAAGGCTCAGGAGTTGGCTCGAAACAAAGTCGGCGCGTCTCGGTGTCTGTCTGCAGGGCAGGGCAAGGTAGCCCAGCTGGGCTGGGCATGCAATTGATAGATAGATGGGGCGCGATCAACGAGGTCTTCCAACCTTGGATGCTTGATCCTCGGATGAGCGCTTATCACTTATCTTGCCTGAGCCGTCTACGGAAGTTCGGAAGGCGGGAATACTGCATATTATCTACTGCATAGTATCTACTGCATAGTATCTACTGCATAGTATCTACTGCATAGTAGGGTAGTGAGATGCGTGGTATCTATGGAGTAGGTAGGCCGGGCTACATTGCCGTACCAGCTTTTTTGTGTGGTGGAGGCACCGCCGCCGGGGCGTGGCTTCGGCGACTTAGTCGTCTAGACTTGAGATGCCGATGGCCGGTCTCCGCTACCTCTTATCTTTTTTGTGGGCCCTTCATTGTCCTCGTTACTGTGGTAGAGACGATGGTCGGTCGTGAGGTGAAATGCAACTCCAGGCAATCGAGTAGATACTTAATCGAAATGCGGACGCGTCTTTGCTCGACCCGGCATTACACCTTATCGTTCAACCGAGCTGGCGAGCACGCACCGCACAGGACTACCAGACAAGCACTCACTTCACTCGCTGGGTTGCGTAGCCATTAACCACCATGGAGCAGAGGACCGAGAAAGAGAGCGTCGACAAGGGCGATGTCGAGGACCAGCGGTCCATCAACATGAAGAATGGCATCAAGCCGAACCTCCAGGAGCGGCACATTCAGATGATTGCCATTGCTGGCATGATTGCAAGTCCCTTGGGCTCCCCCCCTTTCTTCACACCCCCATCTCATATCCCCGTGACCGACCATCTTTACTAACCGGGCCGGACTGTAGGGTACTGGTCTTTTCCTAGGATCCGGAAGCGCCATCTCCAAAGCTGGCCCCGTCGGCGCGCTCCTCGGCTTCATCGTCATGGGTCTGGTCACGGCCGCGGTCTCGTATACTTCCGGCGAGATGTCTTCGTTCATGCCCGTCACCGGTGGTTTCACGCGACATGCGGCTAGAATGATTGAGCCTGCCTGCGGTGCGGCGACCGGTTGGAACTTCTGTAGGGCCACCCTTCTCTCTACGTCACCCATGAACCCATGATGGCTCGCGACTGACCTGGCCCAGGGTATAGCATGTCCATCACCGCACCCGCTGAGATCACTGCTGCCACGAGTCTCATCGACTTTTGGCACAACAGCGTGAACGCCGCTGTCTGGATCACCATTTTCATCGTTCTCATTCTCACCATCAATTTCTGCGGCGTGAGACTGTACGGAGAGGTTCGCTATCACACTCGCCCGCCCTTGAGCCAATGCTGAGACAGCTGACAAACGGATAGTCCGAGGTTGTCTTCGCCACCTTGAAGATTATGCTGATTGTCGGCATTATCATTGCCGGCCTGGTCGTCGATCTCGGCGGAGGTCCCGATCATCAGCGCCGCGGGTTCTGGAACTGGCAGCATCCCGGACCGTTCAATGCGTACCTCGTCGAAGGGAACACCGGAAAGTTTCTGGCATGGTGGAGCACTCTGATCACTGCTGCTTTCAGCTACGGTGCCATCCAAGTGGTTGCCATCGCCGGAACAGAGACAAGAGATCCTCGTACCAACATTCCAAAAGCGACCAAAAGGACCTTCACCAGAGTCGTCCTTTTTTACGTCATCAGCGTCCTGATTGCTGGTCTGATTGTGTAAGTGGATCGGTACCAAAGCTGCTTTGCACTTGCTAACAGCGCATTAGCCGGTCTGACGACCCGAGGCTTCAGGTTTCTACTGGAACAGCCTCGCAAAGCCCATTCGTCATTGCTTTTGAAGAGGCTGGCATTAAAGTGCTCCCGTCCATCATCAATGGCATCATAATCACCTCGGCCTTTTCCAGCGGCTCAGCCTGTGTCTACCTCGCGTCGCGCACACTATTTGGTCTGAGCCGCGAGGGCCACGCGCCGGCTTTCTTCCAGCATTGTAATCGATACGGCGTACCGGTATATGCCGTGGGTGCCACTTCCATCTTCTTGCCCTTGGCCTATCTCGTACTCGGGTCCGGACCCTCGCTCGTCTTCTCGTGGCTTGTGAATATTACAACGGTCTCGGGCCTGATCGGATGGGCTGTCCTGGAGATTTCATACCTCCGAATGTACTATGCCTTCAAGGCCCAAGGCCGCTCGAGGGATGAGCTCGTCTACAAGAGCCCACTCCAACCGTTCACCGCCTGGTTCGGTCTTGTGTGGGTAGTGCTTGTGATCATATTCTCTGGTATGTTAACCGATGTCCACTCTCTATATAACAATGGTCTGACTTGCCCTAGGCTTTTCGGTCTTCTTCCCAGGAAACTTCTCGACCAGCAACTTCTTGAGTGCTTACGTGAACATCCCGATCTTCATTGTTCTTTACATCTTCTTCAAATTTTTCTTGAAATCAAAGATTTACAGCACCACCGAAATTGATATCTCGACGGAGTTGGAACTCATTGCCAGGGAGGCTCCTGAGAGGCGTGAGATGGAGGAGACAGTGTTGCCGGCGTGGAGACGAGTTTTGGATAAGATATTTTGATTCTTCAAGACTTAGAGCGGAATTCCTAACCTTGGGATTATCGTGGACACATACTCTTTTCATAAAACGTAGAAGGAGAACGAAGTTTCCTGTTCATGTCCCCCTCGTCGCTCCCTATGACCGGTCACCAATTTGGACCAGGCACAGATAGGATCTTCTAACATAATTCAGAGCAGACACGAGAATAGAACGCCTATGCTGAAGTGGCTCATAAATTGATGCGTCTAGCTTTACTTGGTCGTTCCTGCACACCAAATGATGTAGAATTTAACACAAGCAATTAGACTAGTTCAAACAGTAACTAATTAGTAGCACTGCTGGTTGCTCACCATCTTCACTAGGCCAATCTGCAAAGAGCAACTCTGTTTCTTGCCGACTCTGGCGACCTTTCCCATCAGGAGCTGTGATGCTAGGTTCTTTTTTACTATAGACATCTTAATCTATTTTGTCTCTATAACTATTTATTTGATCAGTTTTGGCTCAGATCACTCTGTCCAATACACCATAAGATAGACAATGAGACATAATACCATTGTCTCTCTTCACAGTGACAACTTAACACAGTAAAATGTTCTCAATCAATAGTCCTCTTTCTGATGCTATTGTAGGCTTTTCTGACAGGACCAACTAATAGCTGGTCTACGTAAGTCCTGTTAAGCCATACAATACACATCAGTTTCCTTTGCACTTCACAACACAATAACGCTCCTTCAGAGCCATGCTCAGGGCCAGTCTCTATAACTATATACTTGTAAGTATAGTACTTCGTAAGATATTATATATCCCTATATAGTACATGAGAACTTTTTACTTGACAGGTCATGGTATAGCCTCAAAATACCACTTTACTGCTATACTCATAGTGATAGCGTTTATGAGCAGAACCTGACCATTGCAATACTCCCTAGCCCACAAAAAGGCGAACGATCCTCGATATTATTAATCTCTCAATTCCAGTGGCTCAAGATAAGTGGCTTTAGTGCCGTATCTAGGTCTTTATTTCCATGCAGGCGGACAATATCTTAAGGCATTTTTCTGACTATGTTTATTACTCTAGAAGAGTCTAATGAATCCTCTCGTAACAGATTGATAGCCCCTTGACATATATATAGCAACCTCTGACCTTATCAACACTAATTATATATCTAGGGAAATAGACCTTCTATTGACATTCACAAGGTTTCACTTTCTGTCGGTATTATACCCAAAAATTTACGAGGAGGGATTCAGGGGTTATAAAGGCCCTGTAAAGGTATACACGTAAGTGTAGCAGCCTTTTAGGTGCAGGGGTGTGATTTTCTTAGTACGTAGTGCTGAGTATGGTGGTGTAGCGCATTCACGGGCCTTACCCTTATAGGCCTGCGCCTTTGACATCGCCAAATACGTCACACACATATAAGACGGAGCCTAAGAAGGGGGGTTTTCAGTGATATAGAATCGTCAGACTTATAGTGATAGATGAAAGATAGCCTTTCTTCTCAGTTCTTATAGGTGCCACAAATGACAATACACGTCTCAAGCCCCCGTAGGATATATAAGATGGCGCCCAGATCATGGCAGTTGAATTCAAGGTCATGTCAGAGGCCTGTTATCTTGCATGTGGGCGAAGTTCAGCAGTTCGTTTCTGCCGTTCCTCTGCAACATGGTGCACTCCTTCACAACCTACCGGGCACGCCCTAGGTGTCCACGCGTCAAGTGCTATTTATGCAACTCAGTTGTGGTCATCGGCTGTGTCTGCTATTACTTACAGGGGTTTTAATGCAGGGTTGGCGACCATAACTCATGGCCATGGCTTGTACGAACTTTGACGCATGAGGAACCACAGCCTTGTCGGCCACGCCAGTCTGCCTTTCTATTGCCACAAGGCGATGCAAACATATCGATGGGACAATACAGGGGTCCTTCAATACGGGAAAAGTGTTACTCGCAAATTGTCTACTTACCTTGTTTATCTCACTTACGCAATTGATTGAAGCTCTTTTGAGTGTATGGTTTATTTTAGTAGTGTCTGATTGTCAATATGCCTTCTATTGATCAATTAATACAGATTAGATCAGAAAACAACTCCTATGTAAATATAGTACTATGGTGTGTAGTCTCTGTGTCAAGGTGCGTAGTCAGTCCTAGTGCATTCCCTACCAGACTCACATGTAATTCTCCAGGGATGTAATGATGGTCTTTGTCACGAATAGCAGCCTGGATCAGCTATGTACTACTTGAAAGCCTAGCTAACCTGCGAGCACGGCACCGCGTGATGAATCGGTCGCCGAGCACTTCGCGCCGAGGATTGCGGCGCCGTGAAATTTGTAAATTGTAGCGCCATGCACTACCGAAGCATTTGGCCTTACGAAAAGACAAAGTTCTCGCACGACATCCACAGGCGTCAGACAAATCTCAAGCCACTCACGGCGGTCACTCCCCTAAAGAATGGATGGGCCCATCGCCCCGCTGCCAAGAAGGCCCAGGACCGGCTGTCGGCGGTCGTGGCGCCGGGTGTGCGGTTGTCAACATGCAACATGCCACGGGAGACCCAACAAGCAAAAGCCACAAGGCTTGCTTCGCAACATTAGTTGCGGAGAATTTCGCTGTGATGGAGGAGCACAGGGGCTCGATGCCATTCAGTTGATCACCTTGCTTCAAAGTACTACGCGATATCGCATCATCTTCCTTCTCTTTACTCTATGACTTGAAAGTTTGCGCGGTTAGCCAAGAGAACACGAAGCACCTTCGAGCCGGCCGGTGGCATCCATAGCGTATCCTTCCACCACTCACAGATACGTACGGTGAAATCCCTTGCTAGCATCGAGCCTTTTCCTTTCCGTTCCAGGAAAAACGAGCATTTCTAAACTCCTCCATTGAATCTAGCGGCCTGCAAACTCACTAATGTGCCAAGAGACTCAGTGGAGCCGTCGGGTCTCCGACAATTGATCGTTCTAATTAGACTAGCAGCGATAGCAAAAGTCCAAAGGGTTATACAGTAGCCTCGCAGAATCTGATTAGATTAGATGGTTCTATTACAGGGTCTGGAGAAACTTTCATCTCCGGCTTTCGCAGGAAGCAGAAGCTCAGGGACCAATACGGTGTAGCGCTCTCAGTAAGTAGGACCGATAATCGCACTCATCCCTGTAGATGCGCGCGAGGTCGAGACGATCCCCCGCCACGGCGCACAGAAGCTGCAGAAAAACTCGGTGTCAAACCCTCCACGTGCAATGGGTCGCAGAGGGTTGGGGTGAGGTCGATCGATGGGTGTGCTTGGCGCCTCGTATCGATTGATAAATGCTGACCTGCCCGCCCTCGTTTGCATATTTGCTCGAAGATCTAGCAATGCAATAAGCCCTTTGAGCACTCGCCAACATGGACCCTTCCCAAGACTTTGGTGTTCTCGCTGACGAGAAGGCTATTCCTAAGGACAACAACACAATCAACTCAGTTGCTTCACCGACAAAAGATGCTATACCCATATCCTCGGTTGGACAGGTCATTCAGACTCGTGGAGTAACGCGCATGGAAGCAGTCTATCGCGAAGCCAAGCAGAGCCGCCTCTCCTTTTACTTGGTGGCCATCTCTGTGCTTGTCTGTGCCTGGGCGTATTCGCTTGACAGCTCAACGACCTACTCCTATAGTCTTGAGGCATCATCGTACTACAAGGAACACTCGTCTGTTCTGTCCACCCTCTCCATCGCCACTGGCATCATCTCCGCGGTGAGCAAGCCATTCATTGCCAAGATTTCGGACATTACCTCTCGCCCATACACCTACTTGTTGGCACTAGCCTTCTACACGGTCGGCTATATTATTGCAGCAGCTAGCACCACCGTGTCGGCTTATGTGGTTGGTGAAGTATTTGTGTCTGTTGGCCAGGCTGGTCTCGATCTGATCAACGATATCATTGTTGCTGATCTAACACCACTTGAGTGGCGTGGCTTCATCGGCTCAATGCTTTCCACCCCTTTCATCATCAACACATGGTTCGCTGGCAAGATTGTGCAAGCCATAAATGCCCGGGGCCAGTGGCGGTGGGGTTATGGCATGTTCGCCATCATCATGCCCGTGGCTCTTGGACCAGCTATCGCCACGCTAATATTCCTCGACCGCAAAGCGAAGAAAGATGGGATCGTCAACATTGCCTCGTCCAATGCAGAACGCCGTGCCGCTAAGGATCTAGCTGATCGCGAAGGCTACGAAGCACCGCACGGGGCGATTGTGGCACCCGCCGCTACACCGGCCGGTACTTGGACCGAGAGTTTGAAGCGCAACCTAGAAGAGATCGATGCTTTTGGGCTGGTTCTTTTGGGTTTCGGTTGGTCTTTGCTGCTCTTGCCCTTTAGTTTGAAGACATACGCCGAGCACGGCTGGAGAAACCAATCCCTTATTGCCATGATGGTTGTAGGAGGGGTTCTTCTCATTGCCTATGTCGTATACGAAATCAAGTGGGCGAAAATCCCAAGCGCTCCGCGGCGGCTTGTTATGAACAAAACATTCGTTATGGCGGTTGTCATCGATGGCTTCTATCTTCGTGAGTTTTTCTTCGATCTCTTGATACAGGTGTGTCTCTGCTAACACGATTGAAGTCGCCGGAAACATGCGCTCGCTCTATTGGTCGTCCTACGTTTACATTGCCAAACCATGGTCTTACCAGGACTGGGTATACTACACGAACACTCTTACGCTTGCATTATGTGTCTTCGGTGTTGTTGCTGGTATAATACAACGCTGGACGCATCGCTACAAGCTCCTGCAAATCATCGGTCTAAGCATCAAGCTCATTGGCATGGGTATCCTGCTGTCTGGCAAGCGCGCCACTATATCTACAGCAGCCATGGTGATGGGCCTCATCCTAGTTGGCTGTGGTGGTGCGTTCTCCGTGGTGGGTTCTCGTGTCGCTTCTCAAGCATCCGTACCTCACCAGGACGTTGCTCTCGCCATCGCTCTCTTGTCACTGTGGTCAAAGATCGGAGGTTCCATCGGAAGCGCCATCGTGGCGGTCATCTGGGCTGACAAGATGCCGAAGTACCTAAGGGAGTACCTGCCGGCAACTGCTACAGAGGCGGACGTGAAGAAGCTGTTCAACAGTGTCTCGTCAATTCGGACGCTGTATGCCTACGACGACCCGATGAGGCAAGGCGCTATTGAAGCATACAGGCGAACGCTCTACTACTGCATTACTCCGGCGTTGGGTCTCGCTTTCATCCCGCTCATTGCAGCCTTTTTCCAGTCCAATTTCTACCTTGGAAAGCAGCAGAATGCCGTCACTAACGTAGGCAATGATGGTCTCATTTTGAAGGAAGAGGATAGGAACCCGGAGCCACTACCTCCACCAGCTAACAAAAAGGAGGCGTTTTTGAGGTTCTGGTCCGGACAAAAGTAAAGAATTGATTCAAGCTGCATTAAGACTAGAGCCCCGGCATCGTGAAAGCCGCCAAGTTTTCTAATCCTCCATCGGCGTATCCTTGCAAATCGGATTTACAGTTGAGACTTATGACTTATCGGGCTGTGAGTTCGCCGCGGTCTCTGCAGCTCTCATTGGCTGAAGGGCTGGCGGACGTTTGTTGAATGTTTTGTCCATTAGAACGACGATCGGATCGCCAAAGACGCCATCATCACTTCGGAAGCTCTTGAGAAACGTCCGCATCGCCATTTCGCTGTTCATTTCCATTCCTTCTCGCCAATTCGTCGGCTTTTCCTCACTGATGATGGCCAGATCTACTGGTAGGCTCGCACCAGGTGCCTGCGCTTCAGTAGCCTTCCGTGTTTTCAAACCATCTTCCAACTTCTGCAAAATCATATCGAACCCTCTCCTCATGCTTTCGAGGGTCTGTGTGTTGGGTATCTGCGAAGAAGCTGACCCATCATTGAGAGCAAGTATGGTCATTGCGATGTTGATCCGATTCCTTAATTTCGATACATCCTCCCGTGTAGCAGTATCTTGTCGTGACATTAAGTCTGTGACAATAGCCTGGGTTGATTTGAGTGATAACTCCTTTGGCGTCAAATCTTCTTTGACTATGGAGCCCGTGGCGTTGTACTCGATGGCAATTCGTTTGTCTATGTCTTCGGAGTACGCGGAGTCTAGCAGAGAACTCAGTATATGTAGATTGTCTTCAAGAATCGCTGCTGAGAGCGGCGTTCCTTGTACCGGGTGCACGTGGCAATCTCCCAAGCTTTTGGGATCTGGAAAGATTTCTAGCATATTCTGAATAATGCGTGCTGAGATTTGCGAGTGATGATTCCATCCACTAGAAGATGTCTGGACAAGGGCGTGGATCGCTGATAGGCCATTTGTGTTGTCTACGAGAGGATGAAGTCTCAAATCATTCATTGGGTTATTATGAATGCTAGCGAGGTATCGAATACCCTCAAGGTTGATGTAAGAATGAGACTCTAATAGAAGGCCTAATATCGATTTGGCGTCGCCATTGTTGCCCCATGCGTGGAATGCATTGAGGCCCTTACTTGAACCACGAGGGATTAGCATATCTGCTAGGTCGAAGTAACCATTTTTGATTGCAGTAGCTAGCGGAGAAGGTGTGCTGGTGGTGTCTGGATCAGGGGCAATACCCATGTTGATGAGAAGTTCTGCGATACCTAGGCTCTGCGATGTGTACCGGGGCCGCGCTGCAAGAGCGTTTAATAGAGACGGGCGCAGTAATGTTTCATTAGGAAAGTCCACTGATGCACCGCGATCCATCAGGAGTCGAACAATACTTTCGTTGTTTGCCACAATTGCAGCTTCGATGGGACGATGCCCCGAGGAGCCATCACTGGGGTGGCCCAGGTCAAGCAATGCTTCCACAATATCCTTGTTTCCGAGACTCGCCTCAAAGCAAAGCTGTACTCCAGGAGCAGCCTCTTCCGATTGAAAACCAATATTGAGCCTCCTTTTTTGCAGAATTTGAAGTGTCCGAGAAAGAGATTGCTTGTACTGAGATCCGCATCGCACCAGTCTGCTCTGCAAGGATAAAGGGTCATATGGCGTAATCTCCTCAGATCGAGCTTTCTCCAACATACCGCATTCATCAAACAGCTGCGTAGTATCGGTGTCAGCAGACTTCTCTGTTTCGGAGAGCATGAATTGGAGTATATCTGGCAACGTCAAAACTGCCGCCAACTCAATGGGTCGCACGCTTGACCTGTTCTTGTACATGCGGCTGAGCCATGGATCAGCCCCGAACTTCGTGAGCGTCCTGACAGCAGGTAAGCTTTGGATCAGAACAGCTCTACCAAGAGGTGTCAAAGTCATGGAATAGTTGTCCTCCCAATCCGCTAGGATACCTCGCACATCTTTTCTCGATGCGCTGGTATGTTTCTCAATATCTGCTCCAGCCTCCAAAAGTCGCTTCACCAATGACTCCATATCAGATTCCCTAAAATTCGCGATGCAATGCAATGGCGACTCTTCTCCAAATTCAGTCCCGTTAGGATCAGCGCCATTATCTAGAAGAAATATCGCACACTCATAATACCCGGAGCGACAGGCACAAGTCAGTGGCGTTTCGCCATGGGATTGGTTGCTTAGATTGATGTTGCACTTGTACTTTCGGTATAAGTGTTTCAGGACATTGACATTGCCCAATGAAGCCGCCAGGTGAAGGAGGCCATGGCCTTTATGATTAACATAGATCCTGTCAAATCTATAACCACCATCTGGGGTGTTTTCTGTGATGCTCTGAATCACTGGACGGAGACAGGACTCATACTCGTCTCCTAGCTCATTTCTGATCTCCTGGTCGAGAATCGCAACATCCTCAGCGTCCCACTTCCGTGTTAGCTTACGGGAAATGAAGTAAGGCATTCCTGTAGCACCCGTGCGTCGACGATAATTCCACTCAGCCTCCTTCATGCTGAACTCCCAGTTGTCCTTCTGCTCCGCATCGGTAGATGCAGATATGATGAGTCTGCTATCCTCAGCGCAGTGCCTGTGACCTCGAATCAAACTCCACCATAGACTGTCGATCTGCTCCTGGGCCGAGAGGGGATTGGTCACACCTAGAGCCGAGTGTACACGCACAAGCCATGCTTTTGCGAGATAGTCTACTGTTGCAGCTTCCTCACTTGGATTGGCAGCTTGACGAAGCCAATAGCAGGCTTGTACAGGATCGAACCCGACTCCAAAGCCACATAGATAGCATTGATATAAAAAGAAGGCCGCGCTCCATGGTTGCATTTCTGTTGTGCTTTCGTCATAGTGTTGCGCTTTGGCAGCAGCAATAAATTCCTTCACGATGTCCTTTTGCTGATTCCAGTCGAGAAGGCGCCTGAGTCTAAGAGGCTCAAATAAAAAGCCACCAGTGTCTGGATGTGGTAGGTCTGGTCGGTAGCCTGGCAAATTGTTTTGGGCATCGTAGTCATCTCCAACTAGTCGGCCTAAAGCGTAGCCAACACTATCAATATCCATACCGTGTCTTCCCGGGATACGGTGCTTCAGGCCTTCAAGCATCTTAGCATTCGCCTTGTCCTTGATATCAACATAAACAGTTGAGTCGGATGCAGACATTCCACGCATTCTGGCTTGGGCTCGGTCGAGAGCTCGGTGACTAGGCTCGCCCCGAAGTGTGAACATTAGAGAGGTTATAATAAGGCCAAGACTAATTGAAGGCAGATTGCGTGTTGCGGCATGTTTCGAAAGACTGGCGATAGCCCTTTCAAGCAGCTCGTCCGTTATCTTGAGCCTATTTAGGGCAGCTCTCTCCTGCTCGGTAGGTCTCCCTAAAACGGTGGAAAACCCAATAGTTGCAAGCAGATCGTCGCAGTCTAGCATGCATCTCCATATCAGCATGCCATATGAGAATGCGTCCGTCTTCTTCACGCCTTCGACGGACAACTTCTGCCCAATCTCGGGTGCTTCATAAGGAAAAGTGTTCATGGGCACGCTATGAGTAGCATCGCTTCCTCGCATGTCCATGACAGTTCCGCCGAAGTCGGCGACCTTTGCCGTGTAGGGTTGGCCGGGCGGGTCTGGATAACGATTCGCGAATATAAGAATGTTCTCATGTTTGAGATCCCCGTGCACGATGCCGCAGGCATGCAGAATCGATATGCCTCGTCCAACATCGTAGCACAGCTTTTGTTTGATGTTGAATGGAAGAGGTGAATTGGTATTCTGCAGTTTATCTAATGTTCCGAACTCAGCGTATTCTTGAATGAGGCTGGGAAACAGTGATCCGGTTTCACTGGACGCATCCCAACCAACATCAAGAAGCCGCACAATGTTCGGGTGGTATCGAATGGGTTGGTGGAGCAGAACTCTAATTTCAAACAAAACATCTCGCCATTGGTTTGGATTCCGAGGATCTTCTCTCACGGTTTTGATGACCACATACTTGGGTCTCGAGAGAGTAGCCGGAGTTTCATCCGAAGTGCCTTCACGCAGCACTTCTGCTCGATCGACCAGGAATGATGTACCGTATCCTAGTCTAGTTCTGGCGGCAGTTTTTGTGCGATCCCAGGCAAAGAAAGTTGTCTTCTCCCCAGACCGAATTGACTCCTCTAAGTATGCGACGTGGCAGATGAACGAGGCAAATCCACCTTTCCTGACAGCCGACTGTCCTCCTTCTGCACGGCTGTCCGCGGGAGTTGCATCACCAGTGCCCGGTGATTCGGATGACGTTGCATTCGAGGAGTCATTCGAAAATGCAGATCGATAGACATAGCTTGTCATTTTCGTATTATCCACGAAGGGCGGCTGTGGAGAGTCGAAGGTCGGTGAGCAGGCTACATTCCATTCAGGTGCTTTTCAATGGCGGGATAGGCCGTTGCGGCTGAAATTGGCCGTGCCCGACGCGTTGGCGCTAGCAGCTCCGCCCCCTGGAGATCTATCGGCTTGCTGCAGGGCACTAGTCCATACATGAACCTGGAGGCGACACAAAACCGAGGCCTCCGCTTTTGACGCAGTCAAGTCAAGCTTGCCATGTTGGCCTCTAAAACCGCGTTATAATATCTAGACTCTCTAGACCTAGACCGCGTCTAACGGCCGAACTATCTCGGCACCAGTGAGCAGCGAGGCGGTTTTACAACTGCATTTAGAGTCTCAAGATGGATCCAGGATCGTATATTGCCATCGCCGATATCGCCTTTCGCGGCGCATGCTTTGCCGTGAAAGCTTTCCGCAATGGCCTCAACTACTCTACGGACGCGGAGAGAATTGTTCTCAATCTCGAAATGGAGCGATACCGCTTACAGATCTGGGGAGAGAACAGTGGCTTGGTGCCCGGTGATGACGAAGAACCATCTTTGCCTGAAAGATTACTACCAATTGTCGACGTGATCAGACGGCATTTAGACGATATCACAGCCTCATTCCAAGATGCTGACTCTTTGAGCGGGCGATATGGTCTAGCTGAGACCGATGCGCTGCCTACGACTTCGGAT